CGTGTGGTCTGCAATGGTTGAGAACTGCTGGATTAGGAGGCAGCAGTAGGACCTCACAGTCCTCAGCTGGTAAAAGCCACTAGGCAGTGCTGCCCTGTGCATGTGGTCACAGTGGTTCTCCCTTGGTGTAGCCAGAGGACAGGAAGCTCTCCTTGCTGATGCTGTTGGATGAGGCTCTCTGTGACATTTATTGTGGCTAATCTTGATTTAGCCAAAGATACTGGTTCTTACCCAGCAGGAAAAATTAAATTTCACCACTAGGAATTAGCCTTGTATTTTGGCCTTTAGGGACACTGCCTCTGAGAGACATGGACTGCTACGGCAGGCAAAGGCTCCATTCAGTTTTGAACCAGGTTCACAGTTACCTGGGGCCTGAAGAAAGGGTTATCACAGGAAACCTGGCCTTAGGTGCTGTATGGGTGTGCAGTGCCTTGATTCTCATTCCTGTTCTGTTTCATGTCCCACTGCCTGCCTCACGTTTCTGTGCCATCCCAGAGCTGTTTGCTGCCATTAATATTTCTCACATAAAAGCCACTTGGAAAGTGCATCTCTCACTGTTCTGAGAGGCTCCTTTCCCTGCTGGGGCACATACATGTGTCAGCTTTTTTCTAAGTGCATTTGAGACTCTTGAGTTCAAATCCATGTGTCAAGTGCCTCTTCCCTGGCTGCCAAGACCCTGGGGGCAACCTGAGAAAGGGGATGGCTTCTTGCTCCCTCAGAGTGCCCTGGGAAGAGCAAAGGAGCTCAGGGCATGTTCAGCTGTTGCCTGCAGCACTTGGATTTCCGCTTCTGCATGCAGAACAGAAATCCACTAAGGACTTCAGAAGCTGCAGTGTGTGACACCGAGGCTCTCCAAAGCTTTGTCATTTATTCCTATCTACATTAACACCATTTATCTTTTCTGAGGCACTTCTTCCAGGGCTAGGCTTGGAGCCCTTGAGGAGGGGATAAGGGTAGCACTTACTGTACGGCAGGAAACAGGCAAGTGTTGGGAAGTTCTGTTTTTTCACAAATAGCTTTATCTTTCATCGGCTTTAAGGATACCAGTTGTTCTCAGACAAATTCCTGAAGGAGCACACAACACAATAGTTGAAGCCCAGCAAGTCTGAACCTCTTGAGCTCTGCTTCTGTTTTCCTCTGGGACACCAGATAAGTGACTGATCTCTTGGTACATTGTTCTCCCTATTGTGAAGATAAGAAAAATTTGAGGAAAGCAGTGAAGGATTAAGCACTTTGAGGGTAGTATTGAATGAAGCCACTGTGGTTGATCTGAATTACCCATTTTGGGGCAGATGGCAGCTGATTTCAAAATGACTGATACTGTTAGATGTGCCTGAAGAAGGAGAAAGGCACGTTTGCCTGCTAACATAGCTTTACATTAGTGATTAGAGGGCTTGATGAAAATAGCCTACAGACAGAGACCAAAAAATGGTGACCTGAAAAAGGGCTTAAAAATTAGGGATGCTATGTATTTACAGGGTCATTGAAGGAAAAGGAGGAAGGCTAGCACTTCAATGCATTGAACAGCTTAGACTCTTGCTAATGCAAGAGTGAGCAAACAAGAAGAACTAGATATCTTAACACATCATTTAATAGGTGTAATAGACATGTGCTGTGATAACTCACGAGGCTGGAATATTAATAGAAAATAATAAAACTAACTCTGTATGGTTAACAGAAGCTTTCCTTTCATGACTACATGGTCTGAAATGCAGCTTGAAGAAAGAGATGAGCAAATTGCAAATCTCTTAGTAATGCTACAAAGTAATGAACACAAGCATAGAAAACCAAGAAGGGCAGTCTTTTATGAAAAAAAAAGAAAAGAAAAAGAGGAAAAAAGAGAAAAAAGAGAAAAAAGAAAAAAAAAAGAAAAATACTTTTCTGAGAGGCAGGATATAGTGGTAAATGAAGAATTCCATCCATGCAGAGGCAGAGCTGGAGAGAAGTGTAGAGGAATACGACCTACTCAGCTGGCACAGAGTTTTGGTGCAGAGGTGGGTAACTTTTTGGAGAGGAGAGGAGGTTGTTTCAGAAGTGATTCCCTCCAAAAGGGAGAGAATGGGAGGAGCTGGCTGGTCCTCTGAAAGCTGAAGGGAGTGTAAACAGGAATAGTTATGAAATGATGTGATGATACTTAGGAAAAAGTGACAGTATCAAATTGTTTAACATTGACTTGAAGAAGGAAACCTTCAATAAATATGAAGAACTAATAGCTGAGACCTCATGGGAAGGAATCCTAGGGTGGGGGGAGAATTAGACAGAGCTGTCATTTCCTTAAATAATTTATATTAAAGGGACATATATTATTAATTGATATTAAGGGCACATGTATAAGTTATCACCTTTCAGAGAAAGGCTCAGAAGGATGAGTGAAATGGTGAAATCAGAAGCTCTCCATTTGCTTCAGACAAAGGAAGGATGCCTCTAGAAGGTGCAAACCAGTTTGTTTTATCCAGCACAAACAGTGTGGTAAAGGCTCTAAGTGAGCAAAGGCTATCAAGGACATAAAGGGCAATAAAAGTTGTTCTGTAAGAGTTGGGGTCTCTGGGGAGGCTCAGTGGAAAAAGCCTAGCAAATAAAGCTAAGAAATCAGAGGGGTTTTGTTGTGGTGTCTTTGTTGGGTTTTTTGGGGTTTTTTTTGTTTTTCTTTTTTTCCCTCTAGATATCTAACATAATGCTTGCCAAAAGCAGAGGAGAAAGGGATGGATTTTGGGCTGGAATAGAGAGAGAATGGGTTGACTGGGTAAGGTAAAGCATGCCCTGGAGCAGTTCTGCCTTTGAGAGTCTGGCTCACAGGCAGGCAAAGTTCAGAAGACTGGGAAGAGAGCAAGCAGAGGGAAAAGAGAAAAGCTGAGCAATTATAGATGTATTGGCTTCACTTGAGTAAAGGTTAAAACAATACAGCAAACCACTTCAAAGTAACTAGGAGTGTGTGTGTGGGGAAGAGATGATTAACAGTCAGCAGTCCTGAAAAACTGCATCAAACCAGAATTAATTCTGTTTTAGTGGTAGCTGGAGGGCTATTGAAAAAGCCTCAGATAGCTGCCATGTATCTTGACTGTCACTTGTGGCATTTTTACAAGTAAACTGGAGATACGTGCTTGAGATAAAATTAATAAAACTGTGAGTGCCAGATTTTTCAGAAAAAAAATACATTAACAATAGATATTGATGACTGATAAGGAAACTTGAAAGATTCATCAGAGGTATATCCCATCCTGAGTCTGGTATTCAATATTTACTTCTACATCTTGACTGACAGAATAAAGAGCGCACTCAGTACATCTGTGAATGGCACCATGCTGGCAAGAGCTACAAGCACACTGAAAGATAGGATTGGAATTGACTGGTTGGAGAAATAGTCTGAAAGAATTTGGATGCAGTTCAGCAAGGACAAATGAAAGATTTGCATTGCCTGATGAGGCATCTGGCTCTGCCAGAAAGGATCTGCCAAAATGGCTCATATTCTGGGAAGCCATCCTCTGTGTGCTGGTGGTGCATAAGGATGTTACTTTTAATCACTCCTGGGTGAATTCTTATGCATGATGTGCATGGTCTGCAAGGAAAGTTATATGTCCCTTGTGCCCAGGTCAGCTTTGGTAAGGCCTCAGCTGCAAACCATGGCCCACTTTGGGCATCCATCCAGAATGGGCTGAACTAGCTGGGAAGCCCCCTGGAGAGCACCAAGGGTGATGTTCCTTCTGATGGATTAATGCATAAGAACTGACTGAAGAAAGAGGAGCTGCGTACCCTTGGGAAGGCTAGTGTAAGGCATAACAGCCTTCAGGATGTAGTGAACTTGGAATCACAGAATCCCTGCACAGAACAGCCCCAAGAACCACAGCTCGTGCCTGAGAACATTGTCCAATGTGTCTCTGTCAGGGTTGCTGCTGTGCCCAACCACCCTCTGGGTGAAGAACCTTGTCCTGATATCCAGCCTAAACTTCCCCTGACACAGCTTCAGGCCATTCCCTCTGGTCCTGTTACTGGGCACCAGAGGGGAGATCAGTGCCTGCCCCTCCTCTTCCCCTCTTGGCGAAGTTGTGGACAGCGATGGGGTCTCCCCTCAGTCTACTCCTCTCCAGGCTGGACAGACCAAGTGATCTCAGATGTTCCTCATATGGCTTCCCCTCAAGTCCCTTCACCATCTGCTTGACCCTCCTTTGATCTCTTTCTAATAACTTTTGCGCCTTTTTGGGCACTGTGGTGCCCAAAACTGCGCACAGGACTCAAGGTGAGGCTGCAGCAGTGCAGAGCAGAGTGGGACAATCCCCTCCCTCAACCATCTGTACTCTTGGCAAGTAGCACAAGGAATGTAGGGGAAGCAGAAGACCACCTTTGACCCTCCTGGGAGAAGACAAAACCTCTTCAAATTGAAGTAATGAGTTTTATGTTAGATAATACAAGGAAAGACTGCCCTAGGGGGAGGAAACTTCAGTCCTGGAATAGGCAATTGAAAAACAGCTGGTGCTGGAGCTTTCTATTTCATTTTTGGGGAAGACAGGCAAGCCCCTGCTTTGAGGTAAAGGACAGATTTGATGACCTTTTGATATCCTTCCAGTAATTTTTGATTTCATGACAGCTGTGGGGATGGTGTCCCATCAGTGGGATGACGCTCAGAAATGCACCTGTACTGGTAGAAGGGCACCAGCTGTAGGCTGATGGCAAAAGCTCCAGAGACTTCAGGGGGAAGAGAAGGAGCAGGGCAGGAAGAGTGAGCACCACTAGCTGAGTGGGAAGGTGAACAACCTCACCAGGCATGGGCATTGCAGCAAGTGGTGCATGGAGGAGACTTGTTCCATGGTGTTAAGAGTGCCATGGTGCCATCCACAGTGCAGCTCCATCAGTGCCACAGCCACTCCAGGTCCCTGACATGGGGCTCCCATTTTCTATGTCACTCCCTTCTCGCAGCTCTGCTTGCACTTTCTGATGCTCCACTCACATCTGTATTGACTCTGCTTACCCTCACGCGTGATTGATGTGTTTCCTTTTCTTTGCAGAGGAAGAGAGACAACTTCAAGCAAACAACCGGGATTTTAATCTGCAGTTTGAATATGCTGTAAGTAACCAGTGTGTGTTGTTTCATGCAGATGTAGTCACAGATGTAGCTGCATCTGTTTCATGTCTCAAGTGCTGTTTCAAAGGGGTGAACAGAACTGCATGCCAGCTATGGCTCTGCAAACCAGGCAAACACAAGCCAGATGAACCATCAGAGGTGGATTGCTGCTAAGTCAGCCTGAAAAATGGGCAGCTGAAGGAGATCCAGTTCTGGAAAAGCATGGCACAATGACTTTGCACACTTACAGAAAATTATTTGTGAGTCAAAGCGTTTGCAGGATCAGGCTCCAAGGCCTTTCAAGAACGGAACCTGGGGGAAGTTTTTTCTGTGGAAATTTGTCTCCATTTAAAGTAAAACATGAAAGGAAATGTGTCAGTTCCTCAGCTTTTGCAGTGAAATCATCTCTGTCAGGAAGGTTTTGAATCTGGCCCTTGTGGCTTTCTGCCAGCTTTTCTGCCAGATTCCTAACACTCTACTTAGGTTCACTTCTTAGGTGCCATGAAATCTGTGATTCCAAAGTGCACCTTGACACAGGCTGGCTGTGTCCCAGGGCTGCCAGGCTAACTTGCCAGGGAGCCCCTTGGGCAACTTCATTTCCAAAGCTTCTGGGCCATTTTTTGATGCAGAGGAGGGCTAGCTCAGCCTCTAGATCTGTCCTGCCTGCAGGGGCATCCCCTCTGTGAGGCTGCCCTGAAGCTGCATTCTTTCAAAATGTTTGCAGCTGCCAATTAATACCAAAGTGAATTTTGTGAATTTTTGTCCTTTGAATATCTGAATTCCAGTGGTGAAATTAATCATTCAGTTACTTGGGAGCTCTTTGAATCATGTTTTGGTTTAGGAACATCACCAGTGTTTTCTTGGCAAGAGGTGAAAACACTAAGCATTTTAGAACACACTAATTTCTTGTGATGGGGACAGTATGATTTGCCAGCAGGTTTGACTGATGGCAATATGTGGTTTTCAGTAGTTTTCAGCCACAAACATGGGTTAGAGAGTCCCAGTGTCCAGAGATGCTGCATATGTCCTGAATATGAAATGCATGGCAGTTAATATATATGTAGTACTATGCAGCATGAGTGTCTTATCAAGACTGGTGATTTGAGACTGGGGAAGTGAACTTGATTTGCACACAACCTGTCAGTAGCATGCTGCAATGGTTATTGCCACTACACATGGATTTGTCATCTTCCACTGAATGGCTGCAATGCGCAGTAGTGGGACAAAAAAGTAGGAGGGAGATGGGCAGGTATGTCAGGGTAGAGGCAACAAGCAACTCTTCTGGTTCCATGCCTAATTCTGTGAAAAGCCACTCAGAAAACTGACTTTGCATGACAGTGCTTCCCAGCTGATTGCTTGATTGTGCCCAGGGGTTTGCAAATAGCCACAATTAAGTAGACAACTTTGAGAACACTTCAGAATTTCAGTAAATCTGTGATTAGGTGATAAAGTGAAGGCAGCCAAAAAGCCAGCTCAGTATAATTCGTTAAAACTTGGCAGTGAGTTTCGGTAATCATGCCCCTCATTTTAGTCAGCTATGGCTCATGATTTCTGGAGTCCTGTGTAGACTGAGGCTTGGGAAATCCAGGAAACTGCCCAAAAGAGCCAAGCCTTGAAGTGGCGAGTGGATGGTGGGGTACTAACAGACTTTAGGTGGTGATGCAAGAACTGCCCTAACTGTACAGGGCTGCACAACATGTCCTGGGCTGCTTATTTCCAATTAGTTCTAGCAAAAGTTCAATTTATTAACTCCATGTTACTAGGGTGTATGGAAAGAACTAAACTTGCTCATAACTTACATCACACCCCATGCTGTAGATTGCTGATTATGTGGGAATGACAAAAAGGGAGATAGTCTCCTGGCATCCTACCATAACATATGTATGGTGCTCCTGAAAATTAGCTTTTCCAGGCAAGGGTTAAATTTGGGTACCTTCCTCACTTTCAGATTTGACTCATCATGGTGGGGTTGCTCTGCTAAACACTAGGATGTGGTTCAGGGGGAAAGGACCACTAAGAACCAAAAGAAACCCATGAATATAACAAAGCTTTCTTTAAAAGTATTTTAGAGACAGTGAAAGTCACAGGACTGAGTTTCAGATTTCTTGGTAACTCAAGGCCACATTAGCCATAAAACCTATAGAACAGGTTCTTGCAACAAAGCCAGGTGAGGTGGTAAATGTTTCTTTAGGGTGAGGCAGTTGCTTAGAAAGGCCAATAAGGAAAAAGAAAGGGAAATGCAAGCGTAGATGTTGCATATTGACTTTCTGGTGCAGCCAGGCTTTCTGTCCCACCTGCTGTGAAGATTGAGCCTTTCACCAAACGGGCAGTTTCTGTTATGTAGGCATAGATCAAAGGTACAGGGGTGTATTGTCCCTCTTTATCACAGCAAGAGCAGGGAGGTGTGAAAGTACAACCTGAGGTGGGTGTGTTGTCCCTGAATATCCCTGTTCCTGGTGGGACTTCGTCCCTTGCTGGTGCAAAGTCTCCGGGGTATCTGTGAAGGGAGAAGAGAGGAACTGATAAAGACTTGAAAACTCTATTGTGTGTGGAGTCTGACATCAGCTCTGGCAGCTGCTGAAGGGTGGCCCAGCAAGACTCCCGAATGGCTCAAACCAGCTTTGCAGGAACCTGGTACTGCACCGTGGAAAGCCACGTCTGCCACGGCGTGCAAGGGCATGTCCACCTCCATCACTCTACAGCTTCAGGAGACTTCAGAGGGCAAATTCCCTCCCCGAGCTGGCAGAAAATACGGGAGATGCTAAGCAGCAGTGTGTCCTTGCCTGCCACACTTCCCCAGCCATGACGCCTCAGTAGTTGAGCAGAACGCTTAGAAAAATTAAACAAACTTTAAAACAAAGTGCTGTGCAGTTAACTGGAAGGGCTGAGTGTGAAGGTATGAACACTACCCACCAGCTCACAAAATTAGTAAGGAATGACTCAGAAACAGTGTGAATGAGTGGCATGAAAAGGCACTTAGAGCAGCACAGGAAAGGGCTCAATATAGGTCAGTAAAAATGAAAAGTCAAGTCCCAATCCTGTGTTTATTCACAATGCAGACAGAAAGATCCTTCCTGAATTCAGAAAGAAGTTTGTTCTGTGTAAAAACTGAAATAAAGTGGAAATATTGCTATACCACATCTGCAGGGTGGCAGATGTGGTACAGCAATATTTAAGTACTTCATTCAACTTAATCTGTCTGCAGTCACCCCAACATAGCTACAAAGGGAACAGCCTCTGTGTGTCCACCACGATGGGCTCTCCACCAACAATCTAGAGAGGAAAATCTCTTCTGAAGAGTTTTAATGTTGATCTGATCCTAGTTCCTTTTTAATTCTTTGCTTTCACATTGGAATTTAGCACAGCTGCACTGGGACGTCATGAAGGGCTGCGAAAACAACTTTGAAATTGGCTTTCAGACAATAGGAAAGGAAATGCAAGGCCTGTGAGTCAATGACAGATTTCACCTTGGATCAGGACCCAGGGTCAAGCCAGCATTCTTTCATCAGGACCAGCAGCAAGGGGGCTGCTTGGACTCAGGTCACCTGATGAAGTCTCTTGTGGAACAGGAGGGATGTATATGACTTCCTATAGCCAATACACATTGCCTGGGCTGGATCAGCAGCTGGGCTCTTATCTGTTTGAAATGTAATTGGAGAGCAGGGAGCTCTGGTAATGGCTCAGACTCGGCTCCACCTCCTCTGCTTGCATGCTTTGATCTCAGAAGGCTGCCTGGTGGGTGATCCTCAAGGTCCTTATCAGCATGGTCAGGGTTGTGGCACCAGCTGCCCTCTCTTCCTGTCTCAACCTATAAATATCTCCCAGTGTCTCTCAGGCTCAAGGTAGAAGGGAGTGTGGTGTGATGAAGTGAAAAGTGGTCTCAATAGTCCCTGAAGGAATAGCTACAGCAGCAACCTGCACTGCTCTTTTTAGTGAGGTGTAAGTTGGGTCCATCTAAAGAGCACTTGAGGCACTGTCAGGGAGCAGCCAGGGCAGGGCTGAACTTCGAGAGGGGCAAGCTGGAAGGGGAGGTGATCCAGCTCAGGCAGAGCTCCCACTGACCAGGGTGCAGTCCTGCAGCATCTGGCTGGCAGGGACAGGGCAGGATGCTGGTGATGGGATCCATCCTGACCATTCCACACAAGGTGAGGTGATGAGCCAGGTCCAGGGCCCTCTTAGGGAACCCAAGCGGAAGTGGTGAGAGACAGGGCTGAAGACAAATCTATAGCAGGGGTCTAAGGTCCATCAAAGAAGTAGAACTGGATAGATATATCAGGGAAACAAGGACAGACGACAGTCTGGAGATGGGAACTTCTACAGCATAGCTCAGGTGAGGATAAAAGCTCCTGGCTGAGCAGAAGTGAACTCCTGAGCTCTGGACAGGGATTTTTTTGTGGCTGGAGACACCAGGTAAGGTCAAGGTCCTCAAGGCATATCAGGCCCCTGAGAAGCACATAAACATAGAGCTGTGCCAGATGTGGTCTTCTTTGGATCAGGTCTTCATCAGATTAAGTCTCATGGAGAGAATACTCTTACCGCACTGGCTGGGAATCTTGTTGTGTGAGACCATAATGAAAACAAAACAGTGGTTTGGAGTTTGTCTCCTTTGCACCACTCAGCAGTGCTCTGCCCTCCCCTTCTTTCCTCCTTCCTGGCAGGCAGCAGCTTCAGGTGCTGAGCTGTGCCAGAGGATACCACAGTGCTGTTGAAGGGGATGCCTAAGAGAGAAGACCTTTAGGTTATTGTGCTTGGCTTGTCTGTGAGCAATGACATGAGGTTACCGAGTTGTGCCAGCCCTGTGCACCACCATTATGATTAACTGCTCAGTAATGAGGTGACACCAGACTGCAGAAACAACTCAGGAAAACACAACCAGTGATCATGCTTTCCTACAGATTTTCATGGCATACCCAACATGTGATGAGATCCTGGAACTCACTTCATTAGTGATGTCAAGAGAGAGTCGAGGGGTTGCATATGTAAGACATTCCTATCCTTTTTCTGTTTAAAGAAAAGAAAAACTGGGGGGGGGGGGGAAGAGAGAACTGTGCTTTGGAAATTGGCATTTTTATTTCTAGTGTTTGGTCAGTCTGTTACTCCTGGGAGTTTACTTTTTTACAGGGACTTTTACAGGGACCAGATTAACACCACCACATCCTTTTGGCCTTTATCAGTCTTCTCTTGAGCTGGGACTGCTGCCTAACATCAGGAATAAGTCAGTGAACTTGGGAGTTTTAAAACTGATCTGATCTGACTGTTCTGTACTCCCTGTGAAAACAAAGTCCTGGTGGCACATTATGCACAGTTACATGAGTTTATTAAAATTTTTCATGAGCACATTCACAGCACTGTGATCACATTTCTGCTTATGGCTTCTGTGTTCTTTCCAATGGCACTGCTGCAGTTAAACAGAGTGCCATGGAATTGCACTTCTGCCACCTCCTCGGAGAGGCTTTACCAAAACACCTGGGAAGGACATTTCTGCTGCTCAGCTGTTCCATTGGTCTGTGCTACACAAGTACCAACAGGATTGCCAAGTGTTGTGACATAACACCTCCCTGTGGGGTCACCAAAGTCTTGCTAAAATTTACTTGGGGTTAGGTTGTCCAGCTGCTGGGAACTATTACGTCACTGAGCCAGGGGTATAAATTCAGTGGGTCAATACCTTGCCATACACTTTAGCCCCGGTAATCTAGCCACAAAAGCATCAGTGTCTCTTATTTCCAGTGACTTTTATGGCAAGGAGATGATTTGTTTGCTCAGCGATCTAAGGTAGGAGCCATCTGCTGAGTTTTGCTTGCTGTTGGACGTCACAGGCGGGCTTCTGAAAACACCCCCAAAGTAACAGCTCATCCGCCAGATCTGGACTTGTGTAACTGTGGAGAGATGAGCACTATTCTTAGGGACAGCATTTTGGTGGAGTCACACCTCCAGGAGGTGTGAATCTAGCCCCTGAAAAGAGCAGATGAGAATAATCCCTCACCCACAGACAACATTGCTCTGGTGTCAAGCTTCGCATCTGGGGAGCTCCAGGCTGCCTGTGGGTAACCACGCTCAGACCTGCTCATTTAGGACACAGGTGCATGCAGGGACTGCCCTTGCACAACCTGAGCTCTGGGGCAGATCAGGGAGTAAATGTAAAGCTCCCCATCCCCATCTTTGTGCTTAGCCCATAGAACTGCTCTTCTTAGCTGTTGATTTTCATGAAGCTATAGGAAAATCAGAAATTTCAGTACGGCCTCTCCATACCTAATTGCTGTTACAAAGATTATTCCTCTCCATGACTTTTTCTCCATGGGAGTCTCCCCCACTGAAGGCAGAGTGTGGGCACAGTGAGGCAGATGATGTATTAGAGGCATTGCTTGTGAAATGATGGCTGCATGTGGACCATTTAATGCACTGCAGTGATGCAGGCTCCTGTAGCACCCCTCCCACCCCAGAGTCAGGGTCTGGTCCAGCTCTAAAGAGTGACAGGATTTGATGATGTTAAACATCACAGAAGGGGATAAAATCAAGAGCAGAGGCCAGCTGAGATCTCCCTGTAGCTGGCCAAGAGCCTGAGCTGCCAAAGCACACAGCCCTCTAGTATTGTCTGAAAACATAATCAATACCTGAGAGAATTGAGTTTGCTCAGCCTGGAGAAGAGAAGGCTTCAGGGTGACCTAGCTGTGACCTTCCAGTAGTGAAGGGTGCCCATAAGAATGATGGAAAGGGACTTTTTACAAGGGCACGTAGCAGACAGGGCAAGGAATGGCTTCAAACTAAGGGTGGGTTTAGATTAGATACTGGGAAGAAATCATTTACTGTTAGGGTGTTGAGGCACTGGCACAAATTGCCCAGAGAAGCTGTGGGTGCCCCATCCCTGGAATTGTTCAAGGCCAGGCTGGAGCAACCTGGTCTGGTAGGAGGTGTTCCTGCCCATGACAGGGATAGTTGGAATGAGATGATCTTTAATACCCCTTCCAACCCAAACCATTCTATATTTCATTATTATGTGATACCTTGCATAGTGGTTCAGCTGTATCTGTGATGTAGAAATGCAGAGTTTTGATTTGGAAAGGCTGAAGTTTTCTCTAGTTTGTCATTATAATTTGCTATTGCTATGCCTCTAGCCCCTGAGGTCCATGAACAAGTTATGTGTTTAATTAGATATATTTATAGTAATTACAAGCTCTTTTTTTCTGGTGATTAATTTTAATTATAGATTCTAGAAAAATGAGAAGATTCATGACAATACTCCCTGTCCTTATCCTCAGGTCTAAAGTGCCCTAGTGTCCCAAAAGACAGTATGTGCCCAACAATATAATGATCCTGAACAACTATGGAGAAAACACTGACTATCCAGATTCCTGCAGTTAAGCATTTGGAAGTTGTTATGTCTGGGGTTTTTACCATGCCTAATGGCAATAGGAAATAAAATGAATGGCTGTGGTTCATTCAGTGATTTTCCTGACGTAATTAATGGACAGAAATAGAAGGCAGGAATTGAAATAAACCACTCCCATTCTTTTCTTATTCCCTTCTGAGATTTTTGCACGCAAAGATCTATAAACTTTATCTGAGTGTTTACTGAGTAGTTTTTCCCATGTTATATGCAACCCTCTGAAATCTGTTGACGCACAAAGGTCAAGTCCTCTGCATTTACTTTTTCCTGCAGCAACAATCTTCTGTTTTTTCTTTAAGTAATTGGTCATAATAGTTGTCCTCAGAATAGTGGGCAGGTTTCTTTGTTTAGATCCAGCTTTTACTGAAAAATTTGCTAGACTGTGTGCTTGATGGACACAGTCTTGTCAAGCAATTTAGTTCCTAGTATGCTGGGTTTGCAGAGGATGCTGTTTTTCCATTGCTTCTGTTTCAGCAGCGTTCATGGAGCCTGTCCACAACACATACCCTACAGTTAAGGATTTTGAAATAAACCAAATTTAACTACACATCATGGCATAGACAGAGTTAACCACACTTGCAGGTAGCTGCATGATACCAGGAGACAGGCAATATTCTATATATGATGATCACTGATAAATATATTTTCTTGCTGGAGTCCAGTCAAGAGGAGGATTTGGCTAGCTCTTCTACAAAAGCTGTTTTAATTTCTGCCCTTTTAGAGATTTACTCATTTGGCTTGTCCAAGGGATAAAACCTGATTTTAATGCTGAAGAACATCCGCTGTATAGTGTGTCTGAAGGTAGAGAAATCCAGTAACTGCCAAAAATGGAATAGCTTCCCCCACACATACCTTTCAGTGCTAACCTGAAATAATTGGTTTAGTGCTGGAAACATGCTGATGCATGTCAGCGTAGATGTCGAGATCCCGGATTAATGCAAGGATAAGAAGTGGGCTGTGATTCATACTTAGTAGCTTCTGTCCTCCCACCAGCTTACCAATATCTAAAGGCCATTACAAATACCACAATCACCATTTTCTCTCCTGTTGAACCAGCATATTTATTATGGAATTCAGGTGTGCTTCATGTCTGCCTCCTTGTGCTGTCACACCTTAGGTTCCCTGGAAGGGGGTTCATGGACATTGTCTGGAGACCCTCTAGGGGGAACAATTTATGGTGTTCTCACAATAGGGGGGATTCATCCTTCCAGAACTAAACCTGGACCTTTAAACATCATATGGAAAGATGGTCTAGTGCACCTGAAAACTAAAGGGACAGCAGTAGCTGGTGGGTCAGTAGGATGCATTGAAACCTGTCTGGCTGGTGGCACATATTGGACCAGACTGGTCAATCATCTTTGGGTAAGAAAATACCCCATTCTGCAATATCAAGCTTAAGTCTTTCTGTGGTTTGCAAAAGACAGACTGGGGAGTAACCACTTCTTGTGGCTAGAGGGGCCACCTGAAATTAGAAAAGGAAACTGAAAATAGGGAACAAAGCTGCAGCTCACTTACTGAAACAGTGAGTTCTTGTATAAGGGACTATTTGCACAATACCACATCCAAGTGATTTTTGTGGAGTAGAAACAAGCCACCCGTTGAAGCTGCTGAGCTGAAAGTTTTCTGAATGTGCTGAAAATGATAATAATAATGTCATATTCTGCTCCTGGGAGGACGTATACCTCTTGTAGGGTTGTCCAGCCAATGGGTATTTCAAAGCATCTGGCAAAAAGCATCAGAAAAATTGCTGTCTTCTGGTTACAGTTCTCAATTTTCTATGTGCACTGTGTAAGTAAGAAGACTATTAATAAAGGGAAGATGTTGTGAGCAACAACATACAAGTTTATCTACCTGCAGCAGCACTGGCATAAACCAAGCATCATGTTTTCACCCATTCCAAGAGGAATTCTCTGTTTATCCAGATTTGGCATGATTGTATGGAGAAAAAGGAAATGCTTTTTGAGCTGCTGTTGGGAACAATGCTATTGCTAAATATAAGCAAGTAAGACACAGTTGAAATGTGTTGTGCTGTAATTTTGTTTCCTGTTTCACCAATCCTTATTTTCATTTTTTTTCCCTACAGAACAATTCAATTAAAACATCGAAATACAATTTCTTCACTTTCCTGCCTCTCAACCTGTTTGAGCAGTTTCAGCGAATAGCCAATGCTTACTTCCTTTTCTTGCTGATTTTGCAGGTATGAAATCACTGTGCTGTTTCCAGCAGATTGTTCTCTGTTATCAAAGCCAGTCTGTGTTTGACAGGTGTAATGAAGTGCAAGCTATAGTCCTGGTGTGAATTAGCATCTTAGTAAAATCTTACAGTACATAGAAAGTAGAGCAGAAAAAAGCAATTTTCTCTTTTACCTTTTTATATGAGGGTTTGAACTAAATGAAGGAAAAAAAGTTAATTAGTTTTCAACAAATTGTGCAACTTTTTCATGCCCTGCCCTACTGTCCCTTTGTGTCTATCTCTGAGTGCTCCTGGCTGTCCTCAGTTTTGCATTACTTATTCATCCTGTAGTGTAAAGCCAAGTTGTGTCTTACCCACAGATTTTAAGGTAAAATCCACAGGCAGTCACAAAGGAAAACAGCAAGAAGGACACCACATTTGCAACCTGTGGTGTTTCCCTGGGAAGGAGGGAGTTAACATCAGCAAGGCTCAAGGTTTTGGCTAGTTTGCATAAAGCTGGATATGCTGCTCCCCTCTCCAGGGTGAGGGAGGTGCCCAGTATGGAGTGTGTCAGACCCTGGCAGCACTGTTGAACCCTGTGGATTGCAATGGCATTGTGTTGCACTTTGCTCATCCCTGCTGCTAATGATACCCTGAAAGCTGAACGCACCGGATAAAATGATATCAGGATTTCTGCCCCTTTGCCCCTTGCTGTGTACTCTGCCATTGCTGACTCATATCAGAATACACATTATCAAAAGAAGGTTATAATTTTGATTATGTTTCAAGCTTAATGTTTTAAAGTTGATCATTTCACTGCACACAAATTTGCAAAAAACCATCACAAATGATTTTTTTTTTTTTCAATTTCAGCTCAAAAAAGCATAGGTGAAATGTGGTTAAGCCTTCAGTATACCACACATGATCCGTTTTGCTTATTTGCAGGAAATGAATTTTTGAAATTACAGCGCATCTATGTTTTTCAAGAGAAGGTGCCTTTTCAGCTGAGCTGGGAGCACAGTTCCTGCGTTGTTGTGCTGCACTCTAGCTGTTTGTCTGTCAAATTCATACTATTTCAAAGTATTTGCCTTAAATTATTCCACTGTGTGTTTTGCTAGGCCATCTAGGGTTGACTATATATAAGAGCACACAGCTTTTTCTTTACATCAAGATAGCCTAAAGAGGGCAGGCATTAGTCTACATGTTCCTCACTCCATCCCTGTGGGACTATTCCTGCCTCAGGAGTGGATATGATGGGCAGGCTGTGGGGACTCTGTCTCTCCCTCCTTTGTCACAGAGCAGTGGGACATGCATTTTCCAAGGGAGGTGAGAAGGCAGCAGTTGCAGCCTGTACAGCTGAGCAGGGCTATGGTGCCTGTAGGATCTGGGCTATGACAGTGCATAAATGTTAATTTTACAACGCACATGGAGTTGACAATTCCCAGATCCACACTGAGGGACACACTAATGCTGGTTTCACGTTGCTCCCACCCCTACTGCACTTCTAGAGGAAGGGGAGAACTGTGTGGGGGTGAGGCATCTCCCTCTGCTTGACTGACAGCCTAACAGAATCACCTTCAACTCTTTGGTCCTCTCACTGTCAAAGATGTAGGAAACAAAAGCGGCTGTGCTGCTCCTGGGACAGCAAGGTCAGCCCTGGCAACAGCTTACATTGTCCATTGATGCAAAATTTACTTCAGCAAAATGTTAGAAGCTACTGAAACAAAGAACAGAAGCTTTTGAGGGCTCTGCACAGCTGGTTTTGCTCAGACAGCTCTTGAGTCCCTCGCAGCAGTCTTGCCCATGTCAGTACTTCCAAAGAAATACCCTGGGGATTTGGCAATCCTGATTCTGCAAACAACAATAAAGAGCAACCCACTACACTTTCTGACAGCTCAATTTTTCTAACTTTAATTATAGCTTGTTTTGGAAGGAAAACATGGGTTCCCTGGCTCTCCCACCTTTGGAGGGGGGCGGATCACATATCAGAGATGGAGCTACATTTGTGTCTTTATTCTATATTCAGGTATCATAAAAAGATGTTGTCTGCAGCTTGATTAGGAAACAGTGATTTTCTGAACTGACAGGAAATGTCTTAACTCAGATCTTTTCTTCCTACAGTTGATTCCTCAGATTTCCTCACTGGCCTGGTTTACAACAGTGGTGCCCCTGGTGCTGGTGCTGGCTGTATCAGGAGTCAAGGATGCCATTGATGATTTTGTAAGATCTGTATTTCTGACCTGTACTTTGGAGTGGGTCTGTGATTCTTCAGCACAGTAACTGAAATAAACTGCTTAAACTCAGCTGGTGGCAGGCACTAAGATGGGGTCTGAAATTAAGTCCCCAAAATCTACAGTTTGTTACTGAAACAGGAGCTAGAATTTCCAAATTGCTGAACAGCCCAGCAGCTCCATTGACTTTCTCTGAAACTGCTCACCATGTCTGAAAATGTGATCACTCATAGATATGTCTGGATGCAGGCACAGAAATCTTTTCTTAGGCTTCCACTTTGGAGAACTCATCCTCTGTCATCTAGTACAATGTAGATGGAAAAAAATTTGGTAGGAAGCAAGTGCTCAACCCACTTGTGATTTTTTAAACTTGCTCCGCTTTGGCCAAAGTCTGCTGTCATCAGAACTAATGGTCAAAAGCCCAATTGACTTCACAGAGTGATATTAGAACTGTTTAGTATCTGATTTTCTCTCATTATTAAAATGATTTTGATGTCCAATGGAGCAATGCCAGAACATCAGTGACCACTTTCCATATGAGAGCAGAGGAATGAATTTCTCTGGTGTTTACAGACTAAGGTGGGTGGGAGCAATGCCAGCTGAGTCAGAGCTGTGCTAAAGTGACATGTAAGGCTCTATCCCCCTTCTTCTCTCCAAGAGCAAGCCCTTGCCTGTTGCCCTTTGCAGTCTGGTTATGCTCTGTGTCACTGCCATAAACATGTGCTGGACACTGACTCAGCTGTGACCCTAATCTGCCTGACCCATTCAGGCAGCTGGATGGAAATCCAGAATGTTAATGAACTGCCTAGGGCTCCTGAGTGTTTGTTTTCCTGGAAATGCCTTTTAACCTTCTGATCCAATTTTCAGAATCGACACAAAAGCGACAAACACGTCAACAACCGCCCAGTCCAGGTCCTGATCAATGGCATGTAAGTCCTTTTTGCTGTAGTTCTCGCAGGGAAAAGCATTTTATTAGTAAATATTTTTGATTTTTTGTGTGTATGTGTGCACGATTCTCAAGGAACACTAACAGTTTAAAACTGAATTGTGTTTCATGCCACTAGTTCATGCAGTTTTGGACTATGTGTCTGATTAATGAACCCTAGACACAGTACCAGAATCTGTGCAGGCATTATGGCTGTGACCTTGTGCTGACAAAAACTAAACTCTTTCTCAGTTCCTGGGTGTTTATGTTTAAGTAAGAATTTCAGTGTCTTGTATTATTTTACTCCTTACCCCAAAAGTAACATGCAGAACTATCTTCTGGGTCCATTTATATCATAGCATTTCTTTTGCATTAAGCAAAACTAGGCATTATCAACAAGATATTTCAAATTAAGAAGCTGGAATATCTCCTTCATACACTTCATTATTCTTTGAGTGTGTGTAGCACTTCTGGCTTAGATGTACCCAAAACATTTCAGCTGCGTGCTTTGGACATTGTACTGCTAGTTCTTTCCTGCAGAAAAAATAGCAGAGACTTTGGCTTTCGTGGCAGACAGATGTGCTTGCAGCTCCATGGAGTCCAACTAAGCATAGGACACAGCTGTAGACAGCTGGGAAATACTTTGTGACTTTTTTCCACACTATAGATAGCAGTATGTTGTGTAAACTCCAACAGATTACCAAACAATTAAGAATATAAGTGGAAACTGAAGAATAGGGACATAGTTTTTTGTGCTCTCTGCTAAGTAAACCAGATTCTTAGTTTACTGTGTACTAGTTACTGTGTCTAGGAAACAAAATTTGACACAGAAATTTTATAATGTTGTGCCTTTTTCAAAATCTGGAAACCACAGATCCTGTCCAGCTCTAACCAATACTGAATAAGCAAGATCAAACTGAGTTCAAGCTTGAGCTCTCAGTCCTGTTTTGAGACTGATCTTTCTCACCTCTAGAATTTTCATATACAGCTATCTTGTCTGTGTTGGTGCCTGCAGTTTAGCTGGCTTCCTGTGTGCACATCTGGCTTGGTGCTGTGAAGACCACTGCAGACATGGCTCAGACAGTCAAGTGCACAGCCAAAGCACCTGCACTGACCTTCCTGGAAGCTGGCTACTCTTGCTTTTCGCACACCCAGAAAACCTTACACAATCTGCGGTTTTCCCAGATGAAGTCTTTCACACAAAGCAGAGAGAGTTTTTTGAGGCAAAGTGGCCCTTTAAGAAAAGGAAGGAAGGGAGTAGTCACTGCAGAGACAAGGACAAGGACAGTGCACATGGACTGCACTGCTGTTTTGGGGGTTGGTCTCAAACCAGCATGGGTCAGCCCAAACAGTACTTTTATTGATTTTTACTGCTATTTTTTTGCACTGTGGTGATCCCCCAGCTTAATATGGATCATGGCAGGCCCTGCTCCCAAGTCTTGATGGCACCTACAGTCTGGCCCCAGGAGCAGAGCTAAGTTCCCCACTTTCCCAAGTGGCATTTGCTGTATGTGCTTACTTACTAGAGGTTTCCTTGCAGGTTAAAGGAGCAAAAATGGATGAATGTCCAAGTGGGGGATATAATAAAACTAGAAAACAACAACTTTGTGACAGTGAGTACCGTTTGTCTCTATCCTGATCACAGCTAATCTCTGCCACTCTTATCACTCACAAGAAGATCAGTGGTAGTGATGATGTGGCAGTAACCGCAAGCAGCAGTGCTTCGCAGTGCCTGCTGACTGTGTGAATTCATGCCAAGTCTGTCTGTCTGTCTGTCTGTCTGTGCTCAGGCTGATCTCCTGTTGCTGTCGAGCAGTGAGCCACACAGCCTGACGTACATCGAGACAGCTGAGCTGGATGGGTAAGTGATCCTGGCCCTGGAGTGCAACCCCTGCCACCACTGCAAAGCCACCTTCCTGGGGACCCTGGGTGCAGCAGGCACACCTGCCAGAGCTTTGGTAGCAAGAGTTTAATTTCATGTAGAATAAACATTGGATAGGTATCTTGAAAATAAAGTCGTCTGTTGGATACTTTTGCTTCTTGAGTGCAAACGTCATGTGAGGAGGGGACTTGACTTTTCAGTGACAGCTCTTCTAACACTGAGAGTTAGTTAGACACATGTCCCTGCAATATCCCCATGTGAAGCTGTTGCTTTTTTCTCCTCTAGTATTTTCCTTGAGACAGATTATCTGGGCGAAATAATCATAATGAATAACTGGTAATTTCCTTTAGTCTGTTGTAGAATAATATCAGTGCAAGCACACAGCAAAGGCTTCCAAATGCTGCCCACTCCAGGACACAACTGGCTACAAAACCAGAGGGCTGCAACTTGTATTAATTGGAATAAACTGGAGCTGACTCATCTTTATGATCCAGTTTGCATTACCTTTTCTGCATTGCCCAGAGCTAGCAGCAGTCTGAGTGACTAAGCAAAACTAGAGATTCTAAGAAATTGTGTCGCTCCCAAGACCCTACAGACAGCCCTCTGGACTTTACTCATCTGATTTCTGCTTAAAATAGGTTTGTAGTTTTCATACGCACTAGTGCCACTTCTAAGAGGCCCTGAACTAATGCAGTATTCTTTTGACATTGCATTTCCAGCTCCCCAGCTAGCTAGTCCCAGGACTGAAGTAATCTTCCAGATCAGAATACCATGGGAGAAAAGATTCAGAGCTCTCCTACATGCTTAGATACCTTGGATTTAAATGCGTCATGAGTGACAGGGTAGAGAGTGCACGGCTCTGTGTGAAATTAAGAAGACAGAGCCACTTCATCTTTGATACTATTCCTCAGAATTCCTCTGAATGCCTGTCAGTGCAACTGAAAGAGACAATCTACCCCCTTTGGCCAGGTGAAACAGATGTACAGTATCACAGTCCATCAGATGGCTAAGGAAGACTGTCCTCAAGAGCAGAAGTGATTTTCAAGGAGAGTTTTCAGTTCACATATGACTTTCAGTTCATGTTTTTTTCTTATATTGTTCACCACAGTGAAACAAACCTGAAGGTGAAGCAGGCACTGACAGTCACTGCAGAGCTTGGAGAAGACCTTCAGAAGTTGACAGAGTTCAATGGTGAGTATAAATGGAAAATCTACTTTACAGATGATTTGCCCAAATTACAGAGAGTGGTTGAGATTCTTCCTTCTAAGCTATCCCTTGCTAGGTGTTCTCTGCAAACAGTGCCAGCAAAACAGAACAGGCCCTCTGCAGTCTGTACAGCAGGTATCAACACCACCAGCAAAGGAAAAGGTCCCTCTTTGCTTGCAGGTCGTGGTGCCATGCGTGGCTATAACCTGACTCTACCTTGGTGGCAATTCTTCTGGATGGACACTTTTCTTCTGTGTCTGTCTGCACAAATTGAGACTACCCACCTTGAAAGCCAGCACAAGAGTTCACATAACTGCACTATGGAAAATGTTTTCCCAAAACCTTATGCTTAGTTCTGGTCTCAAAACATTTTCACACTGCACTTTCACACTGATGTAGCAATGCTGATGCACTGATTACATTTATCTTCTGATCAGTGGCACTTCCCAGACACCACACAGACCTGAGGACTAAGTGTGCACACAGGACAGGTGACTGAAGCCTCACCCTGAAGCTGTTCCTTTTCTCTCTCAATGAAAAAATAAAGACTGAGTTTTAAAATATCTAAAGGCAAGCATTATAGATGTGCTAAACAAGAAACAAGTCCTTTCGCAGCGCTGTTTTCTGTACCAAATGCAAAATTAGAATAGGATAGGATAGGATAGGATAGGATAGGATAGAATAGAATAGAATAGAATAGAATAGAATAGAATAGAATAGAATGTTTTAATTGGAAGGGATCTACAATGATCGTCTAGTCCAACTGCCTGACCACTTCAGGGCTGACCAAAAATTAAAGTGTGTTTTTAAGGTCATTGTCAAAATGCCTCTTAAACCTGACAGGCTGGGGGCATCCATCACCTCTCTGTTCCAGTGAATGGTCACCCTCTCAGTAAAGAAATGTTTCCTAAGAGGCCCAGTCTGAACCTCTTTTGGTGCAACTTCAACCATTCCCATGTGTCCTGTCACTGGATACCAGAGAATACTTAGCAGCACCTACAGAGAAAGGAGCTAGACCTGTCAAACCCAGAATACTCCATCATCTCACACATCATCTGTCTGTGGAGAGATGATGAGGGAACAGACCAAGTGGTGTTAGTCACGTTCTGCACTGCTCTGCTGGCTTGGATATGAGGTCAAGACTACAGGAGGAGTTATTATGGAAAAGGGTGGAATGAGTGCTGATGTCCTTGGAATGCCTTAAGGATTGCAGGCTCTCAGGAAATACTTTTAGATATAGAGGAAAAATAATTTTAGAAAAAAGAAGTTTTTGAAATAAGTAGATGATTCCAGGACAAGTGGTGGGGATGTGGCAGAGAGCATAGCTGAGGCTGTCTCTGGTAGAGTTCCTTTTGCCTTCTTTGTTGAGGTTTTATGCAATAATATGTGTGAGTTTTGCCAAGTGTCAGCTCAGTACATGAGGATTTCTTTGAAATTATGGCTGAGGTTCTGGGTGTTCTAGGTCTTGAGAAATATGTTTTTATGTGTACAGTTAGATGCTTAATGTTAATAATTGGAGTGGCAAGCCTTAATTATTTTCCTGAGCAGGCTGAAGTGTCTATCAATTTGTAAGCAAAATCTTAATCTTAGATAATCTTTCAAGCATGCTTAGCTTGATGGTTATCTAAGGGCACAGTGTTCTTGGAAGTGCTTAATTAAAAAAACATTTAAAAAAATTTGCAAAATGCAGAATTTTCTTATTGGATATTTATTTATTCTCTAAATCTCTATTTTACTTATGTTGTAAATAAAAGTGGCCTCTTCACAATACTTGAAATGAATAAAATGTTTCCCAGGATGATTTATATTTGACAGTGTACTGGGAAGAGTGCCTGGAATCAGACCCAGCCTTGCATTTCCCTCAGCAAACCTCAGTAGAAATATTTAAATATTTATGTAACTCTTTATCTAATTACTTTTTAAGACAGGAAGAGAGGACAGGGTTGTGCAGCTAATACAGGCACTCAGTGGAATGCTTAATGTGAGTTATGATGTTTGTTTGATGATTCAGATAAGGAGGATGCTTGCAAAACACTGAATTTCTTTGTTCGATTTGGGCAACTGGGAGACCAGAAAGGCAACAATACTTTTCAGTTACCCTCTACTTACCACAGTTGACTTGGCACTATTTAACTCTTTCAGCTGAAATGCTTCCCAGATCTCTTATTGCTGTTACTGGGTGAGGGGGACAGGAGGCATGGTGCCTGGCTGTGGTGCCTTCACTTGCAGAGCTGCTGGGCTCAGTGCAGATGCCCTGGGGGCACCTTTAGAGCTTCTCACTCTTTGGTGGTCAGTCTCATTTAGATTAATCCCTTCTGATCTCAAAATCAGCATGCCAGAAGCCCAGACCCACCTGCTCATGGGAAAGCAGATGGGGACACTCAAGGTGCTCACAGGAGCATTGTCCCACAGCAGGCACGGTGTTCTTGGTGGGAGACCATGCCCTGGGTTTGCTTTGCATTGTGCTGTTCGAGGTTCCAGTGCAAAGACCCTGTTTCATTTGTGCTTTTCAAGGTGTTTGTGAGGGTGGCAGTGAGACGGGCCTGATCACTAGAGACTTTCAGAAACGATGGGGCACAGATCTGGTCCTTGCTGGGCTAACCAGATGATAAAGTAGAAGAGCAGCACATTTGTTAGTATGAATTCTCATGCCATATGTGTCGTTGAATTTCCTAATTATTCAATCTTTCATGTGTGATGGTTAGTCTGCCCTAGATTAGAGCTGCTTTTTTGATCATTTGCACAATGTTTGATTTTAAATCTGTAGTGGTGAAGACAGTCATGACACTTAAAGCTGTACTTTTCTTCTGGACTCCTCTGGATTTTGTTTCCAGTCTCTTGAGCCTGGTGTGTAAATTTGGGAGCAGCTAGAAGAACTGTACTCTCTGCAAATGCTAGTATTTTAGTAGGTATTTATAGCCTGTGATGAAAATAACTGCTGATTAAGTGAACAGACTGAACTCTTAGATTGCCTTTCAGTAAGGCATATTTGTATTTTCCAGTTCTCAATACATCCACAGGGCCCTGCTTTGAATCTTTAAATGTCAGGTGCAGCGATTGATTTAAATAGTCATTTTTATACTGAGGTATCTGAACACATTTTATTACAAGAAATAAATATAAAGCGTGGAAATAGACACTTCAATCACTTACAGTGTCTGCTCAGTGGTCAAAGAAGGTAGTGGTATCTTTTAATGCACTCCTGGGACTTGAGTTATAAAACACATGAAATTAAAAATCAGTGAACAAAGACACCACAGTTAATTACTCTTCTGCAGCCTTTAGGCTATGATTCTATTCGCTTGGGCTCCTGCAGTTGAGGGAAAATGAAGTAGGAAAAAAGGTGATGTCAGCACTTTTAACTAAAGTTATTCAGTGACATCCTACCACTATGAACTTGCTGTGAATGGATTGAAAGTATGTTGCTGGTTCAACATTTCTTCTCCACCCATATAGAAGCTGTGGAAACTTTGTTTTGTGCTCTACCAATAAAAAATTGCTGTGTTCAAAGAATTGGATAAATGCAGGTTCACTGTGGTCCCTTCAATTATGAGATGAATATGGGGAAGAAGCAACATCTCAGAACATCAGTAAATGTAAGATATAGAATGGGAATGACAGGGTTAGGAGTCAGCTGTAACTAGAGTGTGAAATATTGTCTGGGGAGCAGCTGGGAATGCAGTATTGATGACACCTTTCTGGACCTAGATTTCCATTTTTGCTTTTACATTCTTTTTACAGGAGAAATCAGATGTGAGGCACCAAACAACAAACTGGATAAATTCACAGGAACTCTTACTCTTCGGGGAGAGAAATATGCCCTGGACAATGAGAAGATGTTGCTGAGGGGCTGTACTATCAGGAACACAGAGTGGTGCTTTGGGCTCGTTATTTATGCTGGTAGGTAAAAAACTGACGTGCTGATTGCAGAGCCCAGCAGCGCTAGGGTGGGGATACATCACACCCAGCATGCACAAAGGAAGCAAGTATTTATGTTTCTACCAGGTACAACAAGAAAAAACTTTCTTGTTTCAGAAATCGCTCAACAAAGTACATGAGGGGAGTTTTGATCGATGACCAAGAAAGACTGTAACAATTAAATTTGGTTAAGAATTCTCTCAAGTGTATTGAAATAAACACTCTGTATCATTTCTATGTGATTTTCATCCACATTGGAATATCAGGGTCATCAATAATATTATTGATTAGATAGATACTTTTCATGAGCCTAGTCCTTGTATTGTTTCTGTACTCTAGACATGTGAAAAAATGCATAATATGTCACCAATAACATATCAATACCAAATATGCTGGGAAAAGTGATTAAACATGAAAAGAAGGGTTGAATGTTAAAAGAAAAGAGTTGAGTCAAAGTCCAGATTTAGTGGTTTTATGTGACTCTCTCCATATAATCTCAGACGAAATGACTTAAACTGTTTCTGCCCAAGTTTCCCACTAGCATTCTTAAACTGTGTGTACCTGACTTCATGAGAGCTGTGATGGTTATTTATGCTGAAAAGCACAGTGGGGCCTCAGAGGGAATCAGCTTTAGAACAGCTAAGCTTTATTACTAAAATTAACAAGTGTGCTTCATCTCCAGGGCCAGACACGAAACTGATGCAGAACAGCGGAAAAACAACTTTTAAGCGAACAAGCATCGATCGGCTCATGAATGTCCTTGTGCTGGTGGTAAGTCTGATTAATGTCTTCCTTTCTTCAGATGTGTTCATCATTTCCAGATGCTCCACCTCTCTGTCCACACAAATGGGGGAATATCAGAAGTGACTAATGATAAAAAGAAAAAGTACATCATAATTTATTAGCAGCCGGAGCTCTGCAGTGCCTCTGCCAGCCCATCTTGCAAAGCAAGGCCATTACATTGACAGAATTAAGGACTTTCCTTCTGAACTTGTCATTTACTCTGCTCTCCCTTTTCCCCCCTGCATTTTTGCATGAGAAATATTTTGAAGCCTACAAAGCCCTTTTTTCCTTCTAGTAATTTTGTCATTTTCTATTTAAATAAACATTAGCAGTTCTCTCTCTTCCTCCTGATTTCTTGGCATCTCTGGTGATATCTGCATAGGACTTGGTAATTGAGTTTGCTAATTTACATGATGCCAGCCCCTGACTTAACACGTTAGGGTAAATTATTAGACATGGTCTCATTAATGCTCAGAAGCTGGTGTTTTAAGCAGCAGGGAAATTTGAGAACACTAATCTTACATAGCAGGCACTGTTCTCAGACTGGAAAACAGATTGAATTTGAGGGTTAAGCTCATCAGTGGTTTTAACAAATGGCAAATACTTCCAGGCAGAAATAGTGATAGTCTTCTTTCACAGACTTTCTCAAGATTTTACTGCTTGAGTTCAAAGCCACTCAGGGAAGGAAGACATACACTCTGACACTATTTTAATCAATGTTGCTTGAAGAAAAGGGCTTTCACTTCAGATTTTATTTCCCCTTGAGTGCAAATTTGTCATGCTTTCCTATGCATGTTGCACCACCTTCAGTTTATGACACTGGGAAGGTCTGGTGGTCAGTGCTCACTGTTCCTGCTTCTTCCCTACTACCCTTGCTCTCCAGATCACCCTAGCAGCCAGCTGGGACAGGACCCATTCCCAGGCACTGGAACAAGCCCTGGAAGAGGCATCCAGCAGAAGTCTGTGCATTACAGCAAGGCTGTGCTGAGCTCTCCCTGCCCTCTCTGGCTTCATGCCTCCTCAACACAGGAGCTTAGATCACAAACATCTCCAGGGTGACACCACCCTCCAGCCTCCACATTTCATCTCAGCCTCTGTATTCCTGGTTTTTTTCTTTGGATCCCAAAAGTCCTTTAGGTGAGCCTAGAGATGCCCAGCAGTGCCACAGCACAGAGAGCCACTCCAGGGTTAACTTCAATTCTTCTTGAGGCCTTGCTCTCAGTGTGCAGTAAGGACATGCCCTTAATTTTAATAATCTTGCACCAATCTCTACCACAGGAAAATCTTGGTTTATCAAGCTTAGTTATCATCAGCTTGTCTCCCTCAGTGTTTTTCTTCCCTTTCTCCCCTTAAGTGGATAGCAAAACCAAACAAAGTTTGGGCCTCTTACACTCAAAATTTTTCAAGCATTTGAAGAATTTCACATTTTGTTAGGTGTTCTGATAGGTTCTGGAGAGGAGAATGGGCTGTGGAGGGATCCACAGGGCACAGAAACAGAGCAGAGGAAAACTGAACTGAGAATCTAGAATTTAATGTTCAATTAAGATTTGCTGAATCTCCTTTCACAAGCCAAGGGTCCCACCCAGGACTTTCAATCTGTTTGGCCTCTCTTTATAAAAACAAATGAGATGAATTTACCTCCTGGCTCTGTTTTAAAAAAAACTGAGCAAGTTGCAGCCGATTGCATCAGCCTCTGCCTGAGTTCTCGGGCGCTAGAGGAGCCAAGGGTGTGTTTGTCTCCTTTACACATTTTTAAGAAACCTAAAATTTTGGTGTCTAAGTAAAGCTCTGTCATACATTAAACACCAGACTCTTTGCACACCTAAGGGGATGTGGGCACTGGGTTTTTCCAGCTCACTGGGTGGTCGAAGGTTACGGAGTGTGGTCATAAAAACAGGCAGTATATTGTGCTCTTGAGTTGGAGAATACAAAGCAGCCACGTCTGGCTATAAATAGGTAATTTAAGTGTAGTGAAGCTTACTCCACGCTAACACTGGCAAGGTTATTTTGTGTTTGTTTGCCCATCGAACTTCCGGGCACAAAGCAGTGTTTAAGCAGGTTCGCCAAGGGAGTGCCTGTTAAATGTTGCCCTGGTCTGCCCCAACAAGGGTTAATCAGAAGCAAACCTTCCCAGATGGCAGTCATAGCTGTTTTGTCGCATTTGGAGGTGTTTCTCATCGATCTGAGAGAGAAGTTAATGTTCCTCCACTGGGGATGCACTTGCCAGCTCCAGAAATGCTTTTTTCTCCAAAAGCTGCTTTTTAGCAGGCTAGGGGAAGCAAATTTTCAGAGAAAGAGACCGCTCGTACTCATCTCTTAAACAACTGACTGCTTCAAACCCCAGAGCAGAACTCAAAGTACCAATCAAGAAACTGAAACTGTTTTAATTCACAGTCCAACAGTCAATGTTTGTCTTGAAGTCAAAAGTCATTTCCTCTTTACAAAACCCTTACCAAGAGGATCTTCAGCAGTCAGTGCATGGGCAGGAACCAGGGAGGGATGATGCTCATACTGGAAAGCTCCATGAGCTTGCATAAGCAATGATTTTTCATGTTCTTCTCTTCGGGGCTGTGGTTGCAATTGCAGCACCCTGCACAGAGTTGTTTCTGTGCACAGAAATTAATCTCAATGGCTGCTTTTAATGGCTTGGTCCTTTCCCGTTGTTTCAGATCAAACAGAATGTTAGTGAGCCTTGTGCAAGTGTTGCACAGGAATGGAGTTGTGAGAGCATTGACATGCCCAGTGTGCAGAAAACAAAATGTGCATAAATCAAATGCAGCTGTAGGCTAGAGCTGCTGTGGTATAGAGTCAGAGTGGTTGGGGTTGGAAGGGACCTTAAAGATCATCTTGTTCCAGCACCCCAGCCATGGGCAGGGACACCTTGGGAAAGTTCAGCTCCTGTCTTGCCCCACATATATTTCTATTGCTGAATCACACATTGAAATTCCTACAGGGACTGTGATATTCTGCAAATGGATAATTTTTAACCTCTGGGGCAGGGAGGTGGGTCATGCCTCTCAAATACCCTTAAGTCCTTATAATTACAATAGCACAGATTGAAGTATGTTTTAATTTCTGGTTCACAGAGGTTTAAAAACACTGCACCACATTCCTTACCAGCAAGCAATATTGTCTCCATTTCACAAGCTGAGCAATTTATTTGGCTTCGCACAATTAAATAGAAAAGCTACTGCTCATGTGTGAAATAAATGTGTCCCCTGAAACTCAGTCTGCCACCTTTTCTCACTGCAGTTCCCTTTTGTGGCTTTTTTGATATTAAAACTTGAGTTGATCAGGCATGAACTTTTCACCAAGTGATTCATATTGCTCCGCAGAAGTATCTTTCTTCCTCCCACAGATTAACTCAGCAGTACAAATATTAGCTTTACCATCAACGTTTCTATGTTTGTCCCTCAATTACTGTTTTTTAAAAAGGTTGATTACTGTTTTAATGGGATTGTTGCTGTGTGGCCTTTACATAATGGTCCAACTTACTGATATTTCCTCCCTAATGATTATCTTTGCAAAAGATGATTTTTAATTGCTCTTTTGTGCAGCCTGTTGACTCCATATCTTCACGTTTTTATTATTATATTGGTTGTTTTATGTCAAATGTTTGGAAAAGACCGTGCCAAAAGAATTATTTTCTCATCATTTGTTCAGGAAGGATGACACGTTAACTGCAGTTTATATCCCCACCATCACCATTTCTACCTTACAAATACTGTAATTATATTAGCAGGATTCCAAGATAGTGGGTCTTCCCAGTTTTTAAAGCATTGTTAAAAACTAACTTTGCTAAAGGTTAAAACCTATCCTCTAAGCTTCCATCTTTGAATGAAATGGACTTGCTGCATTGAAAATGCTTATTAGCAGGTAGAGCCACACAGTGCTTTGTGTCAGTGGACATAATCTTCCTTTTTCATCTCCCGTAGGGCAGATAAATCCTTCTTCTTCCTTTCTCCTTTGTCTTGGAAGGCTGTCTGTTAACACATTTGCTTTTCACACACCTGTTTATGACTTTATTTTTTTCTTTTCTTGATTCTTTATTACTGTTGGATATTCACACTTCTGTAATTCCTTGCAGTTTGTATTAATTTCTGTTAAATTTATTTCTTCCTGTTCTGTCTGCTTTTCCAAATAAATGTATTGCTACAGTCTTGTCTTTTTTAATCAAAAAATGCTTTATGATCTATGTAATGTTTTTGCGTCCGTTAAATAGTGTTCCTGAGCAAGCCCCAATTTTCAGTAAGATTTCCCAATTTGAAATTCACTTCCCAGTTGCTGTTGCCCTGGTTACTTTAGGCTTCAGGAAAAAGGCTTCTCTAAAGCCCAAGGATATGCATCACTGGTTGATATTGCTTTTTGTTTGCTCAAAAGAAATGTAATCAAATTGTGAAGGCAAATGCCGAGGCAACCATTAGCTTTGAGAAAGCAATTAACTCTCCTCCAACCATCAGAATAATATCCAGTGCTAAATTCCAGATTGTATGCTGCTGGATTATCCTTAGCAGTATTTCAGATATTGTGAGGAAGACTGTGAGACATCTGGCAAATGGCCAGGTAAAGTCCTTCAGGCAGTTTGTATTCCCAAGTGTGCAGCCAGATGCTTGAGGACCCTCATTTCAATTCTCCTCTAATGAGATTTGCCATACAGCAGGCTGCTGTGACCACCCTAGTTGAGATGTCTGCCTGGGATTTAAATCCCCAGCTGTTTGTGGACTTTTAATTCCAAGTACCAGACTCTGTACCGTGTAGCTTTGTCCTTGAGGTAAAAGTATCATAATTTTGCAGTTTTTCCCTCTTCATCCCTAGGCACATTTTCCTATGATTCAGGCTATCCAACCCTATCCCATTAAGGTCTTCTGATTAACCTGCGCATAATGAATTCCTTGTTTCTAAAACGCAATACATTTTGTTTGGTTTTGATTTGTTTGGTTTGTTTTTCGTTTTTTTTTTTTTTTTCAGATCTTTGCATTTTTAGCACTGATGTGTCTCATCCTAGCCATTGGCAATGGTATCTGGGAGCATGATAAGGGCTACTACTTCCAGGTCTATCTGCCCTGGGCAGAGGGCGTCAATTCTGCCTCCTACTCTGGCTTCCTCATGTTCTGGTCATACGTGATCATTCTAAACACAGTGGTACCCATTTCACTCTACGTCAGGTATGTGCCAGAAGCTCCTCTCACTTTTGATCTTAGGAGAGATTTAGCTTTTGCCTTAACTGGGAGCAGCATTTTCCTTAAAACCCAGCACAACCCCATCATGGATGCTCCTACACAACCACAGTGACGCTTTTCCTGTTTCTGCTGCCTTCAGAAGGTTTTGTCAGGGTTGCACTGGGGACAGCAGTGAGCCCTGGAAGAGGAAAGGATGATTTTGCAGCTAAAGGGGAGGTGTAGGTGTGTAGGATGCTATAGGAGCAGGGCCGGAAGCCTGCCACCATTAGCATTTTGCTAACAGTGAATGAATGGCCTGTTCTTTGAGGTGGCCTCAGGACTGTGTGAGGATTGCCAGGTGAGTAGGTGCAACCAGGTTCCAGTGCTTGGTGCTATATGAGCAGCTGAGAGTGTTCTCTCCTCCCAGACAATGCAGAGCTGTGCATTGGTTATTGGTGATAGACAAATAGGAGTAAGAGGTAGGCAGTGTGTCTGTGATGTTCTCAAAACTTGGGGCAGGGGTAGAGACTGCAAAGCCCTGTTCAGTTTATCATTGTAGCTATCTTCAGTCAGCTTTGCTACTGAGACTCTCTTGTGTTGGTAAACATGAGGAACGAATTCCATTCCTATCCAGTATGTCACCCAGCAAAGTGAAAACTCATGTCATCTGCAAGCTGATGCTGCTCTTTTGGTTGTACTGAGTGTCACCGTGGCTCTCTTGGTGTGGAGCTCTCTGTGGTTGGAGACATGGCTGTGCTCATCCCGTGCCACTGGGCTCAGCTCAGCCCACAGCTCGGCTGGAAACAACCTCCTGAAATGGCACTAACTGAAACCCACTGCTCCTGCCTCGCTTCTCAGCCCAAAAACTGCTGAAACTTTTCAAGTACTTTTATAAAGTACTGCTTTATAATGGGTTTGCTGTAAACTTAGCAGATCATTTCAGTGGGACTTGCTTCAGCAAGTGGCCTTACCACAGGCCACCTATGGACTGATGAGTTCAACCTGTCATTACCTTCAAAGTTGTCTTCTAACTGCAATTGATAATGGTGGTGCTGAAGATGAAGAGCTTGTCCCTTAAGCTTAAGAGCATTCCATCACCTTCTGTTTCTGTTTCATCAGTGTGGAGATTATACGCTTGGGTAACAGTTTCTACATCGACTGGGACCGTAAAATGTATTACCCTGCAAATGACACGCCCGCTCAGGCCCGAACCACCACACTCAATGAAGAGCTGGGGCAGATCAAGTACATCTTCTCAGACAAAACAGGAACTCTCACTCAGAACATCATGTGTTTCAACAAGTGCTCCATCAATGGCAAATCCTATGGTATGTCTTACTCTCTGGGTTTTCCTCACTGTGCCTCTTCATCCACAGAGACTAAATCTGACGTCCAGAGCAGAATGCCATGTAAGGAACTGCAGTGATCAAGTGTAAGGCTACCCATCCGGGGTATCTGGACAGCCTGATTGCATCATTTGCCATGTATTAATAATTGTTTCCTCTTTTTTCTCACTCTTTTATCCCCCTTTTTCTGCCCCATTACTGCCCCAACACTATTAGTTTCACCTCATTTGTCCCAGATTTACATCATCTGTACTCAAATTTGTTTTGGTTTTTTTTTTTTTATCACTAGTTAGGTAATCACAGCTTTTTATGGTATTATTGGCATGGCTAGCCAGATATTGCTAACCTTGCAAAATATAACATGTATATGTATATGTGTGTATATATATATATACACATTATAAATGTGTATATATATGTGTGTGTGTGTACATATGTATATATATATACATATATACATACATATATGTACATATATATATGTGTATATATATATATAATATAACTCACATAACTCACTCCCTTCTAATCACTTATGAAATCAACCATGCCTCATAAGGCTCATCTGCAAATTTTGTCAATTTCTCACCCTGTGTCTCTCTGCAATTTCTCATGTCATGAGCAGTGATTTTCCTCATCCTTTTCAGGTAGTTGGAGTAATCAATGACCTGGTCTTTGTCTTTACACTTGACATTCTTCAGCTACCAGAAGAAAGAAGAGTTTGCAGGAAGTTAGAAAAAATAGGAGACATGAGTTGTTAGCTCTGCTAGATCCTAGAAGTTATTGATTTAAAAGGCTTGTTCATGCTATGGCCCCAGGCAGTTTTTTTCATACTGCTCAAGAGGTGCTAGCACTTTATAAACTGCCTAATTGATTAACATCATTAGATGCTCCAGAGAAATTAGTCACTGCTTATTTGTATATGGATGCTTGCTTTGCCTGTGTCACACCTGCTGATGCACTGATGTGCCAGAAAATTTGCATCTTTTCTCAGTGCTATCAGCTGACCTAATAAAAGAAGATATTTCTTCCTATGAATCTGTGCATATTTGGAGACCACCTTATCTCAAACAGTGTTAGTATTAATACTGTGTTAACATTGTTAACATTAATACTGCTAATGAGGAGTTTGAAATCTCTCCTATCAAGTGCCCTTAGTTGACTTTTCTGAAGTGCATGTCACCACTAACATAGATTCAGGGTAAGGATTCAAGAAATGAATGGGAAATACATGCAAAGAAGGCAAACAATCTATTGCCTGTAGTTTTCTAAATATTTAGCTTCTTCCTAGCACAGTACTTCTCTGCTGCTCAGGGGCATTCTGGAAAGCAGTGCCAGAAACGATGATTTAGTTCTGCTCTCCTCTGGAGGCTTAAGGGAAGGAGGTGCACAAAAGCCTCTTGGCTGTGGTTCCCAGGGAATGAGCTGATGCATGGATTCTCAGGAGAGGTGTTTACTGTGTGTCTTTTACACTCCTGGGGCCTTTATGAAGGCACACCAGCACTACAATTGGCTTTGGTCATAGCTGAGGTTGCTGGTGCAAACATGAGTCAATCATTCCTGTAACTCATTGCATTTTGATCTTATTTCATTGAACTGCCGGACTGGCTGGCCTTGGGACAGTCCAGACCTTCTTAGTGAAACTTTTCTCCAGGCAGAAGTTCTAGTAATGTTTCTTGGAGGTGACTTGTCTTCAATTCCTATGACCAGATCAACCATTCAGGGAGAATCAACAGAGCAGCCTTGCTACCTAGATGTGGGAAAAATGAGCTTTGAAAATTCCTTCTGTATGGGTGTCCAGGGACTGCTGCAAATAGTAGGGTCCAGGAGCTGGATTTTGAAGGAGAAGGCACAAGAGAAATCATTCCCTGGAAGCACTTTAATTTCCTGTCTAGCACCAGAACTCCTATTCTCTCTGTGTTCAGCTCAAGACAAGTCTTCTTTACTCAAAAGCCAGTCACTTTATGGTAACTGCCTTGTGTTTCAAGCATCTATCAGTCTCCAGATTTTGTCATGTCAACATGGAAACTGATTGTTATGCATCATCAGTCATCAGTGCCCATGTCAATGTACTGAAACTTTTAAAATAGATTCTAACTCAGACACACTTTACTCAATTTTGTGGCTCAGAGACTGCACTTACCTGCAGTTTGTGGCTATAATTTCATCTTTCTTGCTTGCAGGTGATGTGTATGATATGTCTGGGCAAAGGATAGAAATAAATGAGGTGAGTGCTCAAGTGCTATCAGGATCTGTGCTTTCAATGGACTTGGATAAGTATCAGTGGACAGAACCCTGCAAAGGTTATGTTTTTGACCCTGCAAGAGTTGATGCTCTTGATGCTAAAACAGAGATGTGTTTTAGCACATGTGATCTCTGGATGTCAGAGAATTCCCAGAGTTAAGTTCCTTTCCAGTAAGCCTGGGTTTAACCTCCAGATTGGGAACAGCCCACTGTCCCCTCTGCTACACCTGACATCCTGGTGCATGCACAGCTTCTCTTGAACACTTCACTATTGATGTTTGTTGCAGACTTGGACATTGGTGAATTTTATTAACCTCATCAGCTAATTGAAGCTTTAGTGAGGAATTAGTGAGTGCAGTTCACACCAACAGCGAGGTCACTGCTAAATTCCTCTGATGTCTGGACTTCAGAAAGTGTGAAAATGTGTCATTTTTACATTTATCTTTAGCCTCTGCTTGCAGGCACAAATGCACACATCTTCATTTCTAAAATGTCTGAAAGTGCATGCAGAAATCCAAATAACAAACAGCAAGATGATGATGAAAATCCCACTCCTCATTCTGATGATTCATTTCCAATCCATTTAGAACTTAAATTGCCCACTGAAACAGACTGTTTGTGCTGAGCGCTGTGCCTGCAGCCTGCCCTCTCTCTGTCAGCCTTGCTTGGTGACACACACTGGACCCCTGCCAGCTGTCCACCCCACCCTGCTGCTGGTGACACTCTCTGGAGCAGAGTCCTGCTGCCCACACGCCCACAGTGCTGCTGTGCCTGGACCTTGCTGCACAGAGCAGTGTGGGAGGGGTCGGTCTGTCTGTGCTCTTGAGCTGAGTGCTAAATGTCAGCGTGCAGAGGTCAAAGGGATGATTCCCATCCTGGAAACTCTGAGCTCATCAGGGATGGGGTGGGAGTCAGAATTGTCCGAGGCAGGCTTGGCAGTCCATTACTCCATGACACATCATGTGCTAAGCTTCTGGACATTTCTCCAGTGTGTTCCACTTTGCCTGGGACTGCTTGTTTTTTGACAAAATGGGTGGTGCCTGTGGAGTTTAACCTTTACTTCACCTGTCTGTCCTGTATTTTTCCCTATCAGAATTTTTTTCTGGCTTTGGGAGAACATGGTGAATAAGACAGACTTTTGAATTGTTCTAAGCTGGGCTCCTGCACTCCACTATCACAGGCAGCTTTTGACATCATGAGCACAATGCTTTCAAGCAGGCATGTGTTGAAGGCAGGCACTTCTTTGCTGTAGGTATCCACTGGCAGGGCTCCTGTTGGAGCATTAGCTGCTGCTCAGAGAGGCAGTTTAGCTAACTGGTTCTTGGCCTAAGTGCTGCTCTGAAAGGCACATCTGTTGCCTGTTCTGTCCTATGATTAAATACCTTTCCTGACCTCCCATTTCCTTAAATCTACAAATCTCTGCCATGAGCAGCCAGGCATAGGCAGGATGGGGCCCTTTGTAAACATGAGGAGGAGACTGGGGCAGTGCTGGGCAGGAATTGGTGTACAGCCCTGTGAGAGCTCAACAAATAATACCAAGCCATGTTTTTTTCAGAACACACAGAAGGTTGACTTCTCCTACAACCCTTTAGCCGACCCGAAGTTTGCCTTCTATGACCGCAGCCTGGTTGAAGCTGTGAAGCTGAATGATGTCCCGACTCACAGGTTCTTCCGGCTGCTCTCCCTTTGCCACACGGTGATGCCAGAGGAGAAGAAGGAAGGTGAGGACTGCTGAGGGCACTGGAACGAGTGGTTATGTTCACTCGCACCACAGCATGTCTTCTCTCCACAGAAGCTGTTATTGGTCCTTTTGGCTCCCTCGTGATTTTCTGTAGTGTATGGCTACACATAAATCAGTGTGTTTGGAGATGGCAAACAGGAAGAGAAAGGACCAGGGCCTCCACTCCCTGTGTGTTCCTGTGGTGGAGCTGACACTACTGCAAACACCACATCTCTGGAGTGCGGAAATTGCAGGTGCCCTGAGGTGGCAGAGGCTTGCCCTGCTCTCTCTCTACTCTGCTCCTAGCCCCAGAAAGAAAGAACATTGAGTATCTATGCACTGGAGATTCATTAGCTCCTCTCACCCAGTATTCCCACAGCTACTAGGTCAGAATGACAGGATGAAAGCCATGCTTTAAAGGCTAGAATTAATTGACAGGTATGAAGTGAAAATACTGATCAGAAAAATACGTGCAGATCTGACTAGAAGGCGCTAAACCCAAGGAACTTGTCCTGTCCGTGAGATGTTAGATGCCAAAGAAGTGATTAAAATCCCCAAAAGAATCTAGGGGGCCTCTTGCCCTGTCGTGGAGGATGGGTTGGTGGGACATGATGGAGATGTGTGGACATAAGGTGCTTTTTAGTCTGCACCTCTGTGGATAGACCGAAAAGGAAAGGGATAGCTGCTATATTATATCTTAGATGCTGGTTTGTTTTTTTTTTTTTAGCTCAGAAATAAGTCAAAAACATTCCGTTTTTTTTCTTGCATATCAGGTAACTTGGTGTATCAAGCACAATCTCCTGATGAGGGAGCCCTAGTCACTGCTGCCAGAAACTTTGGATTTGTGTTCCGGGCTCGCACACCAGAGACCATCACTGTTGTGGAAATGGGAGAAACAAAAGTCTACAAACTTCTGGCCATTCTTGATTTCAACAACGTTCGCAAGCGAATGTCTGTGATTGGTATGTTTCCTTTGCTCCTTTCTTTCCTTCCTGACTTTTTAGGTTCTGGAGCTGTCCCTCGTTCTGCTATGATGCAGAATTTTTCTAGGAGACCTCCTTTGCAATGTGATCTGCATAACATTTGTTTCTGCAGATTTGAGATAGGCTGCTTTGACTTTATAATTACACAGCAACAGTGCCAGAAAAATACTTAAAGGAGACCGGTGGGATAAATCTCAGCATCTGGACCAGAGTGATGCAAGCCACTTAATTTTTCATATATCTTGCTGCCCTCATTACAATGCAGGAAAGGCCTTTCTTCTAATCAGCTTTTAAATTTTCAGTGAAATTTGAGGAAGTAGGACAGGAGAAAGTAAGAACAAACTGAGAAAACAGTTTTTTCCCAATAAACAAATTTCCAATTTCTCCCAAACAAAAAATGGAGAAATTATCCAAGAAAGTTTTTGCAGCCTTTATTAACACTCCAACTTTCTCTAATATTTCAGGAATATTGTAATTGCAGTTACAGTTTACTGGTAGGAAAATAGGAGAAGTAGGACTACTTCCCTAAAAACAAGTTGTTCTTCACTTTTTAGTGAAGTTCTGCCTGTAGAGACAACGTAGAGTCTGCTCAGACCTGCACTCTCTTTTCTAAGCAGAGCTTGTCTTGATTCATGGGAGTTTGCCAAAACTTGGAGAAGTTCAGACACCTGTAGAAACTGTTCTTGATTTTGATGGAAGGGCTTTGTACTGCAAAAGACTCAGTCTGGGATTTGTAGCATTTCTTCTCCTCTTCCTCACAGTGCGGAGTCCAGAAGGTGACCTGACTTTGTACTGCAAGGGGGCTGACACCATTCTTTATGAGCTGCTTCATCCATCCTGCAACTCTCTCAAAGAGGAGACCACAGAACACCTGAATGTAAGAGTTTCCTTCTCAACAACATCTCTGCATTTGATGTTTTCCTTTTCTCCAGCATACTTTGTCTTCAGGAAAAAAACCCCAGATTTTAGAAACAGCACTTAAGCACCAATTTTAAGTTATGGAATAGAGAAACAAATTAGTTTCTAGGCTTTAGGTCTCAAATTAGTTGCCTAGGCATGAGAACCTGGTGCCGTGTGAACTGCTCTGAGCAGATAGAGGGAGGTGATTCTGTCCTTCTGCTCTGCTCTTGTGAGACCTCTCCTGGAACACTGTCCAGCTCTGGGATCCTCAGCATAGGAAGGACATGGACCTGTTGGAGTGAGTTTATCAGTATGAAGATGATCAGAGGGCTGGAGCACATCTCCTGTAGCTGGGAGATTTAGGTTTTTTCAGCCTGGAGAAGAGAAGGCTCTAGGGAGACCTTATAACACTTTGCAGTACCTGAAGGGGCTACAAGAGTGCTGGAGAGGCACTTTTTACAAGGCATGTAGTCATAAAAGAAGGGTTAATGGCTTTAAACTGAAAGATGGAAGATTTAGATTTATTAGGAAGAATTTCTTTATTGTGAGGGTGATGAGACACTGGAACAGGTTGTCCACAGAAGCTGTGGATGCTTCATCCCTGGAAAGCATTCAAGGTCGAGTTGGATGGGGCTCTGAGCAACCTGCTCTCTGGGAAAGTGTCCCTGCCCATGGCAGTGGGATTGGAATGAGATTATCTTTAAGGTCCCTGCCAACCCAAGATATTCTATCATTCCATGATTCTGTAATATGGACAAAGATGGCAAATCCAGTGCAGGACATTTAGAAGACCTGTGACCTGTTTCTGATGCACCTGTTTCTGATGCACCTGATGACCTGTTTCTGATTCTGTAATATGGACAAAGATGGCAAATCCAATGCAGGACATTTAGAAGACCCGTGACCTTTCTGATGAAGCCTGGGGGAAACCTCCCAGAGATACATTTCACAAATGCATCTTTGCTGTTTCACCAAATACTGAGCTCCATGCTGTTCATCAAAATCACAGTTATAAGGGCTTGCTGAGATGCCATGACTAGCTATGCTCCTGCAGTACATTTCATCCAGAATTCATACCCTAAAAATGTTGAACCCACGTCCAAAATTTGAGGCTGTGTTCAGTGTTTATTTAGGTCTCACTGTTTTGAACCTCTTGTTGAGAAATACAAACCTGAGAAACAAATGCTTGGTTAGTGTAAAGATTTAGAGCCAGAAAGTAGAAAAGCCCTTTTGAGATTGTTGGTTTTTTTTTTTTTCCATAAGGACAACAGATGGTAATGATAAAGTGGTCTTGAATTGCTATTTAAAAATACCCCAACATTTATGGCCTAAGGTGTCATTTTTTCACCTTTCCTCTGCAAACTTTACCAAGATGCTTTTACCAGTCCGATTTCTGAAGATCCTTTGTAAGCCCAGGTGACCAGACTGTTCTTCTTGGACCTGGGATCCTCTGTCTCACCACTGTCTTGCAGGAGTTTGCTGGGGAAGGCCTGAGGACACTCGTGGTGGCCTATAAGAGCTTGGAGGAAGACTACTTCCAGGGTTGGATCAGGCGTCACCATGAAGCAAGCACTGCCTTGGAGGGACGGGAAGACAAACTGTCAGAGCTGTATGAGGAGATTGAAAAAGACCTAATGGTTGGTAATTCAGGGAATCTGGGCCAGGCTCTGAGGGAGGCAGCGAGGGTGGTGGTTTGTCAATAAACAGCTCAGAATTACTTTGGTAAACACTGCTCTGCAAACAGCTCTGCAACAGTGGGCTGGGTGACAGGAGCAGGTCAGAACACGGCAGCCCTGGGTGTTCACTGGCACCTCCTTCAGGAGCCCACAACTGGGGTGTCAGCCACCAGTTCAGGGGAATGGTTTTATTTTAACTCACGTGGGTGTCAGAGTAGCTTTCTCGTGATGAAGTGACATACCAGAGCCTGCAGGAGATGACGTGGACACAAATATTTCATAGCTATCCTTTGTATGTGCAAATGGCTGATCTATTTTATTTTCCAGCCTTTGAAATGGCAGGCAGTGAATAATTTCCAGTGCCCATGAGAGTGCCTCCTTTGTTCTTCCAGCCCTGGGCAGGATGGGTAGATGATATGCATGATATCCATTATGTCAACTTGAAATTGAGCTAAACTGTGATCTTTGGGTCATTCTTCTCTCCCCAAGTGTTGTTACAGTTTTTAAATGCCCTGGAGGACTTGCCTGTGTTTTAGAGCCATGAATAATGAATGAAAAGCATGTGTGTGATCTGAAGAGAAGCAGTCTAGCTTTTGTACTCGTGGCAGTGCTTTCTTGAAACCCCGGAAATCCTGGCAGACACCTTTGCTCCTTCCATTAGCTGTATGCCAGAATGCCAGCAGTGCTCAGGGAAGAAGCAAGTGTGAGCTAGGGAAAGGCTGGCCTTTGGAATTTCCATGGTCTCTCTAGCTGGATCAGAACTACTGTAAAACAGGGATTGTAGAGTTTTGAGGACTCTGTAGAGAAGTTCCTTCAGAGCTGTTACTTACATTGATAACGCTCATAGCTGATCTATGGTGGACACCTCAGAGTGCTGAAAGGGATCCCAGGCTTAAATTCCCAACCTCTGAATTGAGTCTCCAAGCAGCAGGAGGTTAGTGGTAGCAGTGAAACCTCCATGTCTCTTTGACGACAGGTTAAAGGCACCAAGTATCTTCAAACAGCAGAAAAAAGCAGTAACTTCAAAATAATGAAGGTTTGTGTCCTGAGCAGTGTGTGGTGTAGCTGTGTGACAGTGTGGACCAGGGGTAGGCACAGGTCTGTTAAGGGCTGGAGAAGATGTTTAGCAGCCATGTGACATCTGCAGTACAGCACAGCTGGGATCAAGTTCCACACCAGAGGAGGTTTGGGGACACTCTTGGATCCAGAGTGTCTTTGTCCCTCTATTAAAGCTCTATCTGCTGTGAAGGGAACACATGGAGCAACACAGGCCTGTAGCTCTGCAAACATTCTTGCAAATAATTTCATGCACGTGCATAATCCATCGGAGCCTGGGGAGATTAGAGCCTAGAACATCTGCAGGATCAGGGCTGTACTCTGTGCAGTAAATTTGCTGAGGAAGAATGACAATCAGTACAACCTTATTTCTGGGTATTTCATTTGTGTTAGCTTAAATAATTAGGTTTAATCCTTCCTCCTTTGGTAGCAGTGGGAGGACTTAACCAGCTCCCTGCCATTTCTGTTAAGCTGCTAGGTGCCACAGCCATAGAGGACAAGCTACAAGATGGGGTCCCACAGACAATTGAGACTCTTGCCAAAGCCAACATCAAGATATGGGTTCTCACTGGAGATAAGCAAGGTAAAGGCACTACAACTTTGGTTGCTTCTCTTCTCCTCCACTGGTGGGGTGGTTCTGCTAGGACCTGTGTTCTCATTCTTTGAAAACTGCACAGAAGACAAACTTACATGGCTTTGCTTCATTGCCAGCTATGCAAAATTTCAGTTAACTGGAATTAGACCAGATGACTAGTTCGTGCCTGTCCTTAATTTCTGTCATGAGAGTGGAAGCAGAGTGAAGGCAGCATCCTTTTCCTTCAGAGAGGTGACAGTAAGCATCCCATAGTCCCTGACATAAGCTGTGAAAAGGTGTCACCTTCATCCACTTGATCATTCAGGTGATGAAGAAGCTGGAAAAAAACCTTGTCCTGCTTTCCAGAAACTTTAATGTTAAAGTGGACGTTGGGTGCATTTCAGCTTGTTTCTGGCTCTTATCATCCCAAATAGAAATGGAGAAAACATGGGCTTTTGGAGATGGAAAGAACAGCAAATAGACTCCAGTGAATTCTTTCGGAGATACAGCATTCTCACTGAAACAATGGTGTTTCAGGGAGGCCAAAAGTATTTGCAAATAATTTCATCCAAGACATGAGCAGAGAATTTTTGAGAGAAATGAAACACTTAATTTTGTCATGTTCCAAATGCAATAGTTTTGCTATAAAATACCAAAATATATTTTCCAGAATTTTATGGGCAAAATGTCATATTCTTTTTCAGAGCTGTGGTTTGGTGCTTTTCTGGAAGCAGGGAGAGGGCAAGTTAAAAATCCTGAAAAAAAAATTTGAATCAGCATGATTTTTTTTTTTTTTTTTGTTGCTCCAAATATGTTTATCAAAGGGTATTTTAAGCTTTTTCATTTTGGTGGAGTTATTTTTTTCCTGTGGTCTTGTGAAGTCAAATTTGCTGCTATATCCATCAAAGTGACTCCCCTGGTTCTTTTACTGTTGACTCTGAAAGGCTTCAATCTTTTTTGGGTCAGAAAGATAACTTTTGTTATGTGAACAAAAAGGCCACAGAAATGGGTTAATTTGGGGCTGCTGAGATGGATTATCTTCCTGGTTTGCCTTTCCTAGAGACAGCAATGAATATTGGTTACTCCTGCAACTTGCTGAATGATGACATGGAAGAAGTTTTCATTGTCGAAGGTAGCACATCTGATGACGTACTGAATGAGCTGAGGTAAATGGCTGAAAAACAGTTTCAGTGCCATGCACTAGCACTATTTGTGTTTTGTATCATTCCACCTTCTTTTTCCCTGTCAGCTTTCCTTGTTGCAGTTCATTCAGCTCTCCTTTAGATAAGGGAGAGCTGCCTCCCTGGAAGATCCAGAAGCTAAACACAGTGTAGAAATCTCTGAGAGTAAATGCTGAAGTTTCTTGATCCAAGAGCTCAAATTAAATAAAGGTTTATAACTCTAAAAGCAGAATCAGATAGGGAGTATCAGCTGAAATTGACCAACAAGTGGTCCTGAGCTACAAAGGCTTTGGCTCCAGGTTTGGGCTATGCTGTTGCTGTACTGCTCTTGCCATTTATTCACATTCCTTCTGTCTAGGAATTTCTTTTGTCTGGATACTTTTTTGGCAGTGTCTGAGAACTTACCTTCCTTCCTCATCTCCTCTGTAGACACAGGTTCTTAGGTAAAGGTGGAAAATGGGAAAGGTTCACAGTCTTTTTCTCCTGGAGTAGATGGCTGCCAGACAACATGCAGAGAAAATTGGATGTCTTTTGGGATACCATCCTTCATGGCACTCAGATGGTTTGTTTGACTTAAAATCAGCAGAAGTTTAGCAACACTTTGTTAGAGTTTCAGAGATGGGGATGATCTGTGCAGACAGCAGCAGCTAAACAATGCATATTGTTGTAGGGATACAGCAAAAATTGGACTGAACTATCAAAGGGAAGCATTGATTTTTGTTTTCATAAAGTTGATTTTACAAAACATAGGTATATATTTGCAAGGTTTTCGGATTTTCATTATTATCCTGGTTTCTTTTTTTTTTAAGGAATGCAAGAAAAAAGATGAAGCCAGACTCCTTTCTGGACAGTGATGAAATCAACATTCAGTTTGAAAAATCTTCGAAAAAGCAAATAATTATACCTGATGAGCAAGCAAATGGGGTGTACGGTCTGGTTATCACTGGCCACAGCCTGGTAAGGAAGGTTCAGAACCTTGCCAGGGATCATTTCCCTGAAAAACTTACTGCAAGACATACTGAAAGTCTGGAAAATGCTTTAAAAATTGAACTCTAGAGGGCAAGGGGTTTTCCCCTCCTTTTTGAAGACTAGGTTCAGTGGTTATCTGAGGCATCAAAGGTGACAGACAATGTTTCAGAAGATGTTTCAGGAACAGAGAAGAGTTGGCCTTGATCTTTGGTGAACAAGAGGGATAGAGTAGCTGGATCATATTTAATTTCTGGAAACATACTAGAAAAATAACAAGGTTTGTGTTTGCAGCAAGAAGATAACATGAGACGTGGGTTTCAATGCCAAGGACATATTCTACTAAATATAGCTGAAAACAGATATGCTTAATTTATAGGATATAGATATTATGACTTTACTAATTAATTTATACTCTCTCCTATGATCTTCCAAGTAAACTGAAGCAATACACTCTAGATGAAGTTGTGACAGATTAAAGACTGCTTGGGAAGTGAAGGCCTCACTGTTGATCTAAAACAACAGTTAGCTGTCATCTGCAGAGGGTTATCCCACTTCTATTTGGTGCTCAGTGTTTGCATGAACTGCTTAGAAAGAGAGCAGGTAACACCAGACTGGGAGAGAGTACAAAAACATCTGAGTCAGGCATAATCTGGAAAGCATAGGGGGAAACTGAGTCAGTTGGGATTTCTGAGCCTGGAGAACACTTATCAGTCGTGGTAATACTCTTCAAAATTATAACAGGTAAACAAAGTAACAGAATTAAACTAAGATAAGAGAGTTCTGGGTGAAATGTCTTCCTGGTGTGAACAGTGAAACTCTGCAATAAATTATCTATATTAGGAAATTTTTTAGAACCAGTTAAAGGAAAGAAAAAACAACTTAGATCAATTCAAACCTGTCTGCGAGGAATATGTAATTTATGTCAGGTTTATTTATCTGTTGTATTTTACTGTCCCAGATCTCAGTGAAAGCAAATAGACATAGCAAATAGACATATTTAGAAAGTTCTGGGACATGCCACCCCCCAGAAACAAAATGCTTCTGTTCCCTGTGGTTGCTACCTTCCTTAATGACAGCCCAGAAATTTTCACTCTCACCTTTACACCAGCCCAGGAAAAAATAAAATCTCATCTTTCTCTACATTTGGCTCATGTGCCATGTGTATAGACCCCAAACACTGTCAGACAGTGCCTAGGTTGCCTTTCTCCCTCTTTTACACTCACTTCTCTTTGAACTCCAGGGCCATAATCCTGGGATTCCCACTGCAAAGCAGAAAAGGGGTATGTCAGGTTTGGTCCATGTACATTGCATGGACATCAGCTGGAAGCCCCTTGCCTGTTCCTAATCCATCCCTTCAGCCTGCAGAGCAGCTCCTGAGTGCTGTGCTAGCAGAACAGCTCTGGCAGTGATGTCAAAGCTTTCTTTATATTCCTGGAAAAACACACACTGGCCTACACCCTGGCAAGGGGATATGTCCCACACAGTCTGGGCTGTGTGGGAGCAGCCAGTCCACACAGTAGACACAATGAGTTCCACCAAGATTATGGCTTTCTCGGTGGGGACCACAAGGACAGTGCAGGCAAATCTAGATGTCATTTATTTATTTATTTCTACAAGCTTGAACAATGGTGTGATACTGTCCCACACACAGCACCTGCTCAGTGCTCTATCCCTGCCTGTAGAGGGGTGTGAGGGCAGTGCTGGGCTATGCACACATCTGGGGTTGCCTGAAGAAAGCAGAGAACAGAAAATTGTCAGCATCCTTAATGGCATCATCACGCCACTTTATTTGTATGCAGCTGCTCCATTAATATACAAAGTGATATATTATACATATACAAAGTGGTAACATTTGGCTGGTGCTGTGCAGCGAGGATATTGAGGCAAAAGCCATCTCTGACTGCACTGACCATCACTACTCAGGCTGAACCATGAAAAGGTCTCCTGTGGATCAAGCCTGCTGCCATGACAGAGGAAAGAGAGAACACTGGTGATTCACAGCTCTCTGTTTCAAAAAGAAAGAATATATGGCCTGAGGACTGTCTCCCTTACACAGACAAGGTAGGGCCCTGCTCTAATGGCTCTGAGCAGGAGTGAGCCTTGAAGATTCCTTCTGTACGTGTCTGCTAAAAAGAGACAACAAAGAACAGAGCCATAAAGCATGATCTGAAAGAAATTTGAAAAGCTCACACTGCTTCCTCCTCCTCATGAAAAGCTGGAGGGGTGACTAGACATCCAATTATCTCAGTGCTTCTCGAATAGAAATAACACAGCTGACTGATTTAAAAGGTCAGCACTCAGAATAAAGCAGCCTTCTCCTTAGTTTTGTGTTTTGCTGTGTCATGCCCACCTGGGCTTAACTTTTTCCATGTTTTTTTTTTAATTAGTCATTTAACAAATTGAAATCTTTCCTATTTATCTCCCAGAGCTTAAATAGTAATCCAAGAGGGATGAGCAGAGACTCTCTCACATGGAGATACGCAAGGCTGTCTCAGGCCCTGCAGCAGCTTCTTGCTTTTGGTGTATGACACTTCTGCCCTCTGTCAGGTTACATCAGCCAATGCAGGTGCTGTGCATGCCCAGCTGTTGTTCATACCCAGATGTGGTGCCTACCCAGCTGTGGTGCATATCCAGATGTGGTGCCCCCAAAGTGCAGCCTTGTAGGAGTAGGGTGCACAGTGTGATGTGCAGTGTGGATGCTCCCTGTGACTGGGTGGATGGATTCACCCACACTGGTGTAAGGGCCTGGCTCAGCTGTGGTGGGCACCTCGCTGCACCCTCTGTGCCAGGCCAGGAGCTGCTGTGAGCCTGCCCTGAGCGCTCCCTTTCCTCCTTTCCTCTTTTCCTCCTTTCCAGGCTTACGCGCTGGAAGGGAACCTGGAGCTGGAGCTGGTGAGAACTGCCTGCATGTGCAAAGTGGTGATCTGCTGCCGGGTGACTCCCCTGCAGAAGGCCCAGGTGGTGGAGCTGGTGAAGAAGTACAAGAAGGCTGTGACCCTGGCGATCGGAGACGGTGCCAACGATGTCAGCATGATCAAAAGTGAGTGGTGGCTGACAGCCAGCGTGCTGTGGCAGACTGACTCAAAGAGGTGTTTGCTCTCTGAGGGAGGCTAGCAGCAGGAACACATATCTGAGTGCCTCCTGTACCACCCTCTTTGTAGAAACATGTGTCTGTGTCCCAGGTTTTGGCAGATCTCTATAAAGCACTCTCACTACAGGTTAGTTGTGTCTCCTGCCTTGTGGGTCACACTGGGCTCCTTCAGGAGCTAAGGTTGCATTAAGTGTCTCTTTTTTGGTTTCTCCCTTAGAGCAGATAAAATGGTCAGTCTTGATGATCTTACAGGCGTTTTCCAACCTAAATGGCTCTGTGATTCTGTGAAAAGCCCACTTGGGCTGTGATGTGTCAATCAGTGTGTCTGCACGGCCACCATCGCAAGGACAATGTATATAACAAACAGTGTGGACCATAGAGGGCCTGACTCAAAGCAGAAATAAAATTTTTGTGCCTGTAAATATTCTGTATAATATTATGTGGGGTGCTTTTTTCAGCATTTATTTGTGTCAGGACTGTTTGTTAATTATCTCCCTTGAGTTACATATGGTAGGCTTCCAGGCCTCTCCATCCTTGAGCATCATTTGATGCTGCATTACCTCAGTGAATTTATGAAAAAAAATCCTAACTAGGTATAATTAAATTAAGATTATTCAGACAGACCTATTGCTAATATTCCTTGTGTTAATTTGCAAGAATTGATTAACTGGAGCCTCTTAATTAAGAAAGAAAAGGCTAAGTAGAGAGCTTCAAGGGAGATAAGTCAGGCAGTCAGCAAAGAAAGGAGAAGAAAGTTAAAGTGTACATAATAATTAGAAACTAATCCATTCCCCCCACAAGAGGATTGAGACGATGGGGTTTTATCAATTCAGTTCAGTGGAAACATCTGAATCAAACCAGCCTTCAGCCACTAAGATTGTATTCATTAGTTAAAGCTGTATAATTAGCTGTCACATTAAGCTTATGTCCATGTTTAATAAACGCAAGTTACTATTAAAAAAAAAAATACGTGGCTCTTCTATCTTATTATTTGATTGAACTAATAAAGCCCAGGAAACATAAAAAGGCTACAGTCTGCCTTTTAGCACAGTGTCTGAGAAAATTTAAAATGGTTTGAAGATTTTGCCTGTCTGGGATGATATTTTAAGGCTCCTGGAAGGACATGCATGCATATTAAATAAAAGTCACATGTCAATATAAATTAAAGTTCCTGCTTCATAATAGCAGCCGTTATAAACAACAGTATTTGTGCTGCTGGAAAGTGTTCAGAAAAAAACTGTAAACTGTCACTGAACCTATAATTTCATTCAAATAATAAAAGCCCACTTATGGGAAATGCATCACAGAGCCAAAATCATAGTGCTGCTGAAAGAATTAGTGCACCAATTTTTTTTTTTTTTTTAAAAACTTTTCATTCTGACTTTCTATGAAGGCCGTGAGGGAATTAACATGGTATTCAATGCTGGATAATTCATTTTAAAAATTAATTTTAAAAAAGGGGGCAGTGAAAACTCTTAGTATAATGAAGTGACCAACGACCTTCTCGTTGCAGCTGCCCACATTGGGGTTGGCATCAGTGGCCAGGAGGGGATGCAGGCGGTCCTGTCCAGCGACTTCTCCTTCGCGCAGTTCCGCTACCTGCAGCGCCTGCTCCTGGTCCACGGGCGCTGGTCCTACATCCGCATGTGCAAGTTCCTCAAGTATTTCTTCTACAAGAATTTTGCCTTCACCTTGGTGCATTTCTGGTATGGCTTCTTCTCAGGCTTCTCAGCACAGGTAGGTCTGGCTTCGGTTTCGTCAGGGACGTGGAGATGGTTATAGGCAGCAGCTCTGCTGTGAAAAGAGGCTGGGGGTGGAGGGCTGGTTCATCTGGGAGATGAGAAAGTTTCAGGGAGATCTTAGAGCACCTTTCAGTACCTAGAAGTGCTACAAGAGAGCTGTAGAGTAACTTCTTAGCAGGGCCTATTGCAATACGACAAAGGGTCGTGATTTTAAACTAAGCTTAGATTGATTAACAACGAAGTAGTTTTTTGCAATGAACTTTGTAAAACACTCACAGAAGTTGCCCAGAGAGGGGGTTGATGCCCTCTTCCTGGAAACATTCCAGGTCAGGTTGGATGGGACTCTCAGCAACCCAACCTAGCTGAAGATGTCTGTGCTGATTGGAGGGAGGTTGATTTAGATTAATTTTACAGCACTCTTCCAAGCAAAACCATTCTGTAACTCTACATTTAGCATTTCCAAGTGAAGTGTCTGGAAACATTTCACAAGGAAATAAACGAAGCCATTCCTCCCACCTCACTAAACAAACTCAAGTCTGTATTCTTTAGCCACATAGGTATAAAGGAGATATTGCTGCCTCCATTGCTGCTGCTGGAGGACAGATGCCTGGAGACAGAATACATATATTGTGTAATCATATAATCATTACTTCCTAGATCATCGAGTCCAACCAAAAACCCAACACTGTTATGTTCACCACTAAAGTATGTCCCCCAGTGCCACATCCACATGTTTTTTAAACACTCACCATCCTTTCAATGAAGATTTTTTCCCTAATATCCAGTATAAACTTTCTCTGGCATTTAGGTGCATTATGAAGCACATGCATCACTTGCAGGAATTTCAAAAGTATTCAAAGTGGTTGCAACCATCAGCTGATGACACAGATTAGAGTTTGGTGCAGATCTGGTAAGATCTACGCTTGTGCTGTTAGCATATTTGGAGCAAGCAGTTTAACCTGCGATGCCTGTGGGCATCAGGAGCTTGCCAGAGGAACACATCCAGAGTAAAAAAACTGGAGCTGGTTCATGGCAAACCAGCCTCCAACTAAACACAGATGTGGGGAGTGCAGACATCAGGGGCTGGGGGTGCAGGGTGGTGCTAAGGGATCCTGCTCTGGCTACAGCCAGCAGTGGGTGCTCAGCAGGCTGGGCTGGCATAATGTGATCCTTCCCCTCTTTAGGGATGCTGAGTTTGAGTCATCTCATCCCTTTTGTCTCAGCAACAACTCAAACCAAGGTGTTGCAGCAGGTAATTGCATATACTTTCAAAGAAATGGAAAGCATAACTTTTTGCTAACTTCACTTGCTTTGTTTTTGTTTTTGTTTTCCCAGACTGTCTATGATGAGTGGTTCATTACACTTTACAATTTGGTATACACCTCTCTCCCAGTGCTAGGAATGAGTCTCTTTGATCAGGTACTGTTTCTGTCATCACTTTGGGGATTTTATTCATGGGGATTTTGTGTCCAGGTATTTTGAGTTGGTTCCATGAAGCAAAAGCACCTGACCTTTTGGCGACATACTGTGGTAACCTCTGAAATAAAAACCTGACAGAGAGAACTTAAATCACAAAAAAAAGATGCACCAGAGAGAAGGTGTATTCCCTTCTAGTCATATAATTTGGGTTTTAGTAGTCCTGTGAGGAACAGGGAGTTGAGATAAATATGATTACCCTGATTTGGCCTGTAGGTTTCAGTGTGTGATGAGATTTTTGGGTTAGGCTCCTGCTTACAGCACCAGATGCCATTGCAACCCTCCCCTGGAGCAGTCATACCCTCCTACCTGTGTTCCTGAAGCCTGGCAAGTGACTTCCTAATGACCAGACAAAACAGCTAATTAACTGGATCTCTGAAAGTTTTTGTTTTGTTGTTTTTTTGGGGTTTTTTGTTTTTTTTTTTTTTTTTTCGCAAGTTCAGCCTTTCTAGTGAGTTCTTTCTGTGGTAATTTCACAGAAATTTCAACCTTACTATTACTGTTTGACTAGACAAAGGAGCAATAAAGCTGCTCCTATATGCATTTTACAAGTTAAATGAAGAGGCATTGGTTACTTTCCAGTGGTTCAGTGCTCCACTCTGGACACTTAAGGGATCCAAGTGAGACAGCCTTGCCTGTGTGGGGAGGTATTTTCTAACCCTTAGCTTCCAGACAATTCTCTGTAGAACAGACTATGTAGTCTGCTTTAGATTAAGTGTATATTCTTTCTTTTTTTATCAGCTGTCAATTTTTTTTTAGCACAAGAAAGGTAAAATACTTTATGGAAAATATGCCCAGGTGACCTTGGGATGTGCCATGCCAGTAAGCACAACTGAGTGAATTGTGTGCTAGGCCTTTTCTCATGGAAATGCATGTCACAGGGACATGGCAGCCCTAACTGGCTCTGTGTCTTTGGCTGGGTAGCTGCCAGCAAATCTGACTGTCTCCTCTCTGCTTTCAGGATGTGGATGATCGCTGGAGCATGCTGTTCCCTCAGCTGTATGTGCCTGGCCAGCAAAACCTCTACTTTAACAAGGTGGTGTTTGTCAAGTGCATGTTGCAAGGGATCTACAGCTCCCTCATCCTCTTCTTCATCCCCTATGGGGCCATGTACAATACAATGAGGAGTGATGGGAAGGCCATTGCTGACTACCAGTCCTTTGCTCTGATGGCCCAGACCTGCTTACTGATCGTGGTGTCTGTACAGGTAAGGCATCCCAGGTAATACCTTTAGGAATTAGTTGTTTCATGATAGCAGCATCTGGAGGGCCATTGACAGCATTGCATTTGCTACTGCATTGTGCAATCTTGCAAAAAAAGTCTCTTGACACCAGATTAGTCTCCTCAGTTCAACAGAACAGGAGATCTGTATGCTATAAAAGATCAGGGTGACAGGAAAGAAGAGTCTTTGCCTTGGGAAGATTGCAGTCATAACAGACAAATTAGTTAAGGCAGGGAATAGAGAAGGACATGTTCTAGTTTTATGGGAAGGGTTTGAAGCACAGGGCTGTCTGTCTGCCATCAGGCAGTTATTTATAGGTTCTCCATTATGGAGATGTCTCTGCAGCCTGGCCCAGTGCATGATGTATGTGTGACGCAGCCTGAACTTGCTGGAAGAAATAGCTAAGACTTGGTGGTAGAAAAGTCAGATGGTACCATCAGGATGAGAGAGATTTCTGAAAAGAAAACCAATCAATCACACTTTCCTGGATAATAGTTCCTGCTGTCTGAAGTCTTTGCAGACTTGTTCTCCTAACTTATAGTGTAAGGAGTGGGGAAATGAAGCCTGACTTGTTTGAACTTACTGTGTTCAACTCCGGGGCCCTCAGCATAAGAAGGATGAGGACCTGTTGGAGCAAGTCCAGAGGAGGGCCATGAAGCTGATCAGAGGGCTGGAGCACCTCTGCTAAGGACGCTGAGGACAAGGACACTGGGATTACTCAGTCTGGAGAAGAGGAAGCTCCAGGGAGACCTCATTGCAGCCTTGCAGTACTGACCAAGGGCCACAAGAAAGCTGGGTGGGGACTTTTCACACAGGCATGGAGTAATAGAAGAAGAGTTACTGGCTTTGAGATGAGAGTGGGTTTAGGTTAGATACTAGGCACAAATTCTTCCGTGTGAGGGGGTTGAGGCACAGGCTCAAGTTGCCCTGAGAAGCTGTGGATGCCGCATCCCTGGAAGTGTTCGAGGTCAGGATGAATGGGGCTCTGGTCTAGTGGAAGGCGTCTCTGCCTAAGGCAGTGGGATTGGAACAGGATGATCTTTAAAGTCCCTTAATATTCTGTCTCTGGGATTGGCCACTAGCGAACGCTTGAGAAGAGGGAACAACAGGATAAACGTAGTAATCTTGCCTTCAATGGTTTCCCAGAATCTTATGATTTGTGACCTGTTATTTCTTGAGGCTTGAATGAATAGCATGCTCAGGGGGAGATGTACAAAGCAGAGGACAAGCTGTGTTCAGCACAGATCTGCTAAATCAGGAAGGCACTGACAATAGCTGCATTGCTCTCTTCTTTCAGATTGGCTTGGACACCTCTTACTGGACAGTTGTCAACCAGTTCTTCATCTGGGGCAGCCTTTCTGTTTATTTTGCTATCACCTTCACCATGTACAGTGACGGCATGTACCTGATCTTCACAGCCTCCTTTCCCTTCATTGGTAAGCCTGGGGACAAATCTGGATTGCACTCAGAATGGATATACTGCAGGGCTTAAAGTTTCCAAGCATTTCTATGTATATTTCAGGATATATTGGTTGCCTTTTCTGCAAGAAATGCCAGAATATTTCTGAGGGTTGCTGGGATTTATTTTGAATCCCATCTATCCAGGTGAATGTGTGCCATGTTCCCTTCCTTGTGTAAGATTCCCATGCAGTCATAAGAATTGTCTTTTAAATAAACCTAATGAGCTGGATGGAATGCTTTCTGCTGGTCTTCTATGTCTGGGTTCCAGATATCCAATTTTTACAGCTATATAGGAGCGTCTTATTTGTAGCTGTGTGATCTTTTTAAATAAGTTAACATTTTGGCATAGGAACGCATAGAAGTACAACATCCAGTCAGACATGAGAAAAATGCCATGTGATTATGGTGAGCCTTCTGCCAGGATAAATGGCAAAATCCCCAACAACAAAACATACCAGTGGTGACCAGGTCTTTGTAATTATTTTACACAACAAATTTCTGAGCACATGCAAAAAATTAAGGATAAAAAATGAGTCCATCTCCTGAGACTTTGACCAGGAAGAACATGTACTTATATTGTAAGCAAAGTAATTAAAAGTAATTCAGATGTTTTTAATAGCTGTGTGCATCCATAGCCAATATAGATAAAACATTGTTATGAGTCTCTACTTATGAAATCCCAACACTTTTTATTTCAAGTCTCAGATCTTTGTAATAATCAACGCCTTCATTTTTTACTGACTTTTTCAGTAAAAACTTCTTTTGTCTATCTTCACTGCAACAGCAAAGGCCTTAGAAATATCTGAGATGCAGGTTAGTTGTTGCAACATATCTTTCAAGCAGATGATCACATCCACTTAGAGATGGCTTTAAGAATCAAAAATGCTGAGTGAGAGAAATCAGAATGTCTGTTCAGTTTCCCAGGGCAGGTGGACAGTTGGACTGGATTATCTTGAACGTCTCTTCCCACCTTGAGGATTCTATGGTGGTTATAACTCACTTGCCAGGGGTATCTCATCTGCTGCTCTGTTGTTACTACATTGGTCAAAGAAGCCACAATGCTGAGGGCCTCTTAATAAGGTCCCAGTTTGAAACCATTTTTTAAGGAAAGTGTTTCTAGTCTGGACTAAGACAACTTGTTTACTTACATTTCAGTGAAGTTGTATTACAGCAGAATTTGGCCAACTGGAAAGAAAATATTCAGCAAATATACTGCCAACACCAGCATCATTAAGTCCTGTAATGAGGGTTTTGCAGACTGTTTGTTCTATTCTACATTCCCACAGTTTTGTAAAAGCCAGAAATGAGCACTTTGGTTTCAAAGGAGGTGTCAGTGACGTGCCACCACGTGGCAGTGGTGCTGCCAATACCCCATTAGGCTACACTGTCTGTGCACTCCCCAGAGCAACACATGCTCCTCTCACAAAGGGCTGTGATTCCCATTGCCTGCTGGGCAGAGCCAGTATTCCATATCCTTCAGGAAATGGTGCAGGGAAGCAAGAAAGCATTATTCTTCCTTTTGCACTGGAGTCCTGAGCTGCTGCTTAAGGTCTCCTGAATGTTTATATCAATCCTTTGCTGTGATTTGACTCTTCGCAGAGAGAAAAGACTCACTCTGACACCCTTGTCCACCTGGGTTGTTGCTGCAATCATGTCTGGACATTGCATTTCTCTTTGCTCATCTCAGACAGTGACACTGACTTTGCAGTTCTCTCTACAGCCAGGTGATTTCAATGTTGGAGACGATGTCTGCCTTGTATTTTGGTCTATTTGCCAGGTGCTCTGAAATCACAGAGAGCAACAGGGAATAATGGTGGGAGCTGCTGCTTTTGCAGTTTTAATCGTGTGTGCGTTTGTTTGTTTTCCAGGTACGGCTCGTAACACACTCAGCCAACCCAACGTGTGGCTGGCCATCTTCCTCAGCATCGCCCTCTGCGTGCTGCCCGTGGTGGGCTTCCGATTCCTGAAGGCTCAGTTAAAGCCTACTCCCAGTGACAAAGTAAGGAGATACCTCATTAAACCAGAAATCCTGCTTGCCACAGCCTAGGCTCACTGTGGAGCCACATTTCATGGGCTTGGCATCACCTGGGCTGTGTGTCTGTATTGGTGCAACTGCTGCCATCTGTCTGTCCCTGACTCCCCAGAGAACAAGGATTGAATTTTGGGTTTGGCACGGTTCAAACCATCTGCAGCTGGGACCAAGGCTGAGATTATTTAGATGTGGATTAGATTGCTCTGAGGCAGGAAAGCTGCACTATTTTTAGGTGCAGGGTTTAAGCGCTGTGGCTCAGTGGCAAAGGAGTGGCATGTTCCTCCTGCCCTGATGCTGTGCAGTTTTTAGCCTGGCAGACCACAGGCTTTCACCCTCCACGAGGGAATATATGTTTGCTGGGGATTTTTTTACTTATTTCAGAATTTACTTTTTGTAGCCAATGGCTGTATGTCCCCTCTGGAACCAGCTTCCCTCCCATCCCTGGGAATATGAAGGTGAGGGCACCAGGGCAGGGAGAGGCAGGGAGTGATGGAGTGGGCAGGGAGCGCACTGCTCACTGCAGCCAAGGGACCCCTCAAGAGCATCAGCGCATTCAGAGCTCCCCGGGCTCGCTCCCAAGCAGGAGCATTTGCTGAATGCTGCTGCCACCTCGTGCTTCCTTCCTCTCCCTGCGCCGAGCTGCTGCGAATGGGGGTCAGAGCACAGCCCCAGGGCAAGGCTCCGCAGCTGACGCCCTCCCTGGTCATCCCCGGGATGGCTGTAGGAGAACATGTCGGGGGAATTCTCAGCCCTCGCAGAGAGGGTAGGCGGGTGTTAGGGACCTGCTGGGTAGGGAGGTCCTTGGGACACAGCTGGAGGCAGTTGGGGGTTGTAAAAATGGGCAGAGTTTACCCCAGCTGAGCAGAATTCAAACACGGCTGTCGCACAGAATCCCAGCCTCACTGCTGAGGTTGGGCATCCCTCTCTCTCTAGCACAAAATTACCTCTCTGCCTCCTCTTGGAAGGGAATGGTCACAGGATAGGAGTGGGTTTCCAGCTCTCCAGCTCCACAGAGTCCCCCAGATGGTAGCAGACAGGCCTGATGTTTAGAGAGGCCAAGCACCTGCCACTGCCATTGTGCCAAGCAAGAAGCACAGGAGTCTGGCAGCTGGGGGTTCTGCTGAGCCACAGGCTCTCAAGAGCAGCATTAGACAGCCCCATTCTGAAAAGGTTCTTGACAGCAGATTAACTCAGTGGCCACCTGGGAGCAGAAAGCCCACTGTCTGCAAATAAAGTGCAGTATTTATTTCCCATCTGCCAAGGAATACAGGAATCTCTCAATTATCCCTGTAAGCATTCAAAGCCAAGTTGCATGAGGTGTTGATACACCTGATATAGTGGCAGCGGGGCTGGAATGAGATGATCCTCAAGGTCCCTTCCAACCCAAGCCACTCTATGATTTCATAGTTCTATAACATTCATCATTGTAATCATAAAAAGGTTTTATGTATCAGAAACTCCCTTTACTAGCCTGTTTTCTATATTAAATATGCCAGTCCTTGAATGTTTATTAGTTTTCTGGAATTTTGACTTTTTGAGATGACTTTCACATTGTGGGTGATTTGAGTGAAAGTCCTACAGCGATACCCCAGCCATGGCATATCAGAGATGTGGGGAATTCATGGAAATAAAATTCCCTCTCATGATTTACAGATGATGCTCCCATTAACACCTTTTGGAATGGAATGGAATGGAATGGAATGGAATGGAATGGAATAGAATAGAATAGAATAGAATAGAATAGAATATTCCTCATTTTTCCTCTGGATTCCTGCTTTTGTTTCCCTTTCTCTGCTCCTCTTCCCTCTGCTTGTTAATGGTGCATTTAATGATGCTTGTTAATAGTGACTCCGCTTTTCCCGCCTTCACTTGTGGTTCCCAGGTGCTGCTGAAGATCAAGGAAGCCAAGAAGAGGCCCCCTCCGCCCTCTCCCAAGCGGCGCCTGCGCCGCACCAGCACGCGCCGCTCCGGCTACGCCTTCTCCCACCAGCATGGCTTCGGAGCCCTCATCATGTCCGGGAGGAACATGAGGCCAAAGTCACCTTTTGCCACAACGGGAACATTTTCACCCAACAGTGACAAATATAAACACAAAGGATTGTAACGGAGGAGGAAGAAAAAAGGAGAGAAGAAAAAAGACGCACCCCCCTTCACCCCCTTTTTCCCCTTAAAGATTAACAAAGCAAACCAAAGTAAAGGGCTGTCAGGAGAGGAGGCTGTGCTGCCTGCAAGGCACCAAGACAGTGGCTGCCCAGAACTCTGCCCTCTGGGCTGCCAAATCGAGGACTTGGGGCTTTCCTTTCACCCACGTGCACTCTCTGATTCTAGTTTCTTCTCCAGAGACATGTGCTGCTGCTGGGGAAGGCGAGCAGGGTGAGCTGGAGCGTGGAGTTGCATGGTATCCCAGAGGGCCTCCCTGGCACAAGAGAGAGCATGCTGTGGGAGGCATCTCTGCTCCCTGAGATTGTTCATAATGATAATATTTTTTTCTCCCTCTAACTATATACCTCAGAGCAAAGAGAATTTCAGCCTGAGGAAAAGGTTGAATTGGCAATGTCTTTCTCAGTCATGTGCCTTCTATTTTTCTTCATGAATCCACTCTGGGCCGTATTACTGGGGTGACAGTATTGACCCCAGGTGTGCCTTAGGTCCAGCCACACAACCCACAAATCCATAGTCTTTGTAACATGTGTGATTTTGTAGCCTTTTGACTGTGATCCACTTTCTCAAGAGATGGCCAGTACCCAAACACCACCCTCCTCCCACATCTGCCATCAGGAAATGCTGCAAGCTCAGAGAAACCCTTAGTAGGTCAAGGGACCAGGAGCTGACAGTCATCAGCCTGCCCTGATTTATCTGGGTTGCAAATCTGCTCTTGTAAAGGATTCTTGTCCTCAGAACCCTCTCAAGTTTTGTAAGTGGGCACCAGCCATTTCATTTAGACTTAAAATAAAAGAGCAGAAGGCACTCAGGCTTCCTTATGGATCAAACCATGAAATCTGGCCCCTGAGAAGCCCATGCCATGGTTAAGGCTCACCTGAGCTGCCAGCACGAGGCATCTGCTTTCCCCCAACAGAATGAGATGTGTGCACATCTGGCTTGATGGTGATCACACCAGAATTACTGAAGCTAGAAAAGCTATTTCATGGCCAGCAGCTGAAATAGCCTTTGCTCCACTGGTGCTGGGGTTCAGTGCGAGGGATAAGCATGGCCTGGTGGCTCCCTCACCCTCCCTGATGAGCAGAGTGGCCATGATTCAGAGGAACTCAGTGAGGCCTCAGGAGTCTCTGCAGTGTTTCATGGCTGCAGTGTTTCTCTGTGCTGGCTCAAATTTTAGTTGGGAACAGGTTATCTGTCAAACACGGGTAGCAGAGAGCTGAAAATCCGACCAGTCTGACTGCCAGCAGAGGGACCTAAAATGCACAGACGCAGCTAAAGATGTGGTGATCCTGAGGGACTGGGATTTGCTCGCTGTTTTGTCACAGCAACTCCATAATCAGCAGGGTTACTGGGTGGAAGGCCAGCGTGGCAGCATGAGAGTCTGTCCTGCCAGCACTGCTGAGCTGTCTAAATGCAGCTTTTTTTGTGCAGAGGACTAAGCCTCTGGCTGTTGTTACGGGGGTGGTTTTTTGTTTTTGTTTTTTTGTTGAGGTTGGGTTTTTTTTTCAGCTCCATTATACAAATTTAGACTCCTTTCATAATTTGAATTGGAATTTTTTGTGCAGTAATCAGTTGATATTTATGAGACTCTGCCCTGAGTCTCTGAGCTGTCAGGAAGCAGTGTATGATGGCAAGAGGCCAGCCATGTCCCCGTGTCATGGAACACCCTGCTGCCTGTGGTCCCAGTTTCAGCAATTACTGTGTGAGATTGTTTGAGCTCTAATAGAAGGTTTCATCTCCCTGTGTTTTAACTCAGTGCAGGAAAGAAAAAAACAAAAACCACAACCATACTAGTCCGTTGCACCTGCTGCTTGGGGAGGCTTGTTGCAAACTGTGGTATTAAATTTCAGCATGGCCAGTGCAAAACTGGAGCTGGGACTGGGTCCAGACTTCAGTGTCTAGGAGCTGCTTGCTAGGGAAGGAGTAAATTATCTGGTGATCTCCCCTGGAAGGAGACACCTGAGTAAAGTGAGAGCCTGCACTCTGGCTGAGGAAACCACTGTGGTAATTCATGCTTGTCACCTCCCCCTGATTTACCATTCACTTTGCAGAGACAATCATGGCTTTCTGACCAGGATTATGCTTTTCACAGTCAGCCTCCCTGGGGTTAGGGGGAAAAGGAGAATTTGTGTAGATAAGCAGACATAGCCATGATACCCAGACTGGTCTGTGGATTGAAAGTCCTATCAAAGCTGTTCCTGGCATCTGATGCAGCAGAATATATTGCAGAGCAGCAGAGGCAGATCTTGTGCTGACAGAGCAAGGAAAATCTGACACTGTTGCCTCTCTTCTCATACAGTTTACGTGCAAACTACTCACCTTCTGGCTAAAAGGGGATTTGAAAATGTTGGCTACAACATGTAGGGGATAATAAAGCTGTTGGTGAGCTTGCACCAGATACAATTCTTTCGGTGGTTTAACACAATCAGCATCTGAAACACATCAGCTGGCAGTGATGTCTGTCTACATCACTCCTGATTTTGTAAAATAATTGGTTTTTTTAATAAAAAGAGAATATTGGGATGATAGATTCCGTGGCACAGTGTTAATTGATGTAACAAGTTTATACGCAGAAGTGCACGGGGGGGGGGGACGGTCTGTGGGACAATGGATCTGAGACGGCAACCCTTTTCATCCGGTATTCTGACGCGGGAAGCACACAAATTCCCAAAATTTTCCATCCTGGCTAGGATGTTTTAAGAGGAAACTTAGAGGAAACGTCAGACATCCTTAGGCGGAGGACCCATTGTGGGCGGGCAGCGCGGAGAGCCCGCCCTGCGGCGCGGCTGTAAACAGCGGAGCGATGCGGGCGCTCGGTAAGGGACGGCGGCGGGGATTGCGCGGGAATTGCGCGGGCAGGAGCGGGGCCGCTGCTTCTCGTGTGCGCGGTGCTCTGCTGGGCTCCCCGGGGCAGGTCAGACCGCGTGTCATCGTCTGTGCCGCGTCTGAAAATTATGACTTGGTCTTCTATGAAGCTCTGGCTTTTCACAGATATGTCAAAAATTAATCCCTGAAATAGATTTTGGAGTTTGTTTTCACCCTCTCCCTTTTTTCCTCCTCATTATTCCATAATATAAATATTCACAGTTTGAACGTTGTTTTGCTGTTGTGCCTGTACTTGCTGCCCTGCTGGGCTGCAGTTTGGGGGTCGAGAATGATAATGATAGTGATAATGATAATAATGATAATGCTCTGATGGTGTTGAGGCACTAGAACAGGAGGCCCAGAGAAGCTGTGGGTGCCCCATCCTTGGGAGTGCTCAAGGCCATGTTGGATGGGGCTCTGAACAACCTGGTCTGGTGCAGGGTGTCCCTGCCCATGGCAGGGGGATGGAACAACGTGGTCTTTAAGATCCCTTCCAATGCAAACCATTCTGTGACTCTTTGATAACCAGTGATGACGTGTTTCCTTGTCTTACGCTGCAGCAGAGCAGAGCTTGGAACAGCTCTCTCTCCTGAACCCACAGTGAGCAATCTCTGTCCCTGATACCGTGGTGCAGCAGGTGCGTTCGGGCAGAGGCACCTCAAGGGTGTTCTCCATTGCTAACTGCAACACCTGCACTCCAGGCTGCCTGGTAGCTCTCACTCTGCCCGTCTGCATCCACACAACTCTCTCCCACTGACCTCCAGCCTGAAAATCCTTACTCGTGAGCAGCTCTTAGGAAATGGGAGGGCAGAGGAGCAGTACGTGCTTGCCCTGGGCTCTCCAGTTGGATACTTAGCAAAGTCTGTTGCATGAATGGAGACATCTCAGAAATGACCCATGCTAATTACCAGCTGGAACAAAACAGGAGCGCAAAGGCCCTCTTGGATATCTGTGGGCACATGCACTGTATCTCTAACCCCATCAGACCTCTGATAAAATTCTTCCTAAATCCAGGTATTCCAGTCGGAAAGCTTCCTGTCCTAAGGGTTGATTTTCCTCTCTCTCTAATTTTCAACCTAAATGTGTTCACTGCATTTATTCTCTTGTTGTCATGCCAGCTTTATACTTTTGCTTCAGCACTTTTGTTTGTCTCCTGTGATATATTTAGACAGCAATCCTATCCGCTCTCTGCCTACATTTGCCTAGGCTAAACAAGCCAGGCTCTTAAGTTTCTTCTTGTTTGATAGGTTTTTTGTTTCCCTCAGGCCCTTTCTGCACCTGTTCATTTGAGTTTATAATTTTTAAATGTGGGTGACCAGAATTTTTTTTGCATGATGCTTCTTTTATCAGTGCCTATACAATAGCTCTGGTATTTCACTGCCTCGCCTAGGACTGTGTTTGCTTTTCTTACAGCCTTATCATCTCTGTGTTCTTCAACACTGTTTTAGTGGTTATTTTTCCTAATTTTCTTATGAACATGCACAATTGTAGCTAAATTAGGTTAGCTACATAAATACCTCTCCTCTCATGCCTGACAACACGGGGAGGAGCTGAAGTCATCACAGAATAAGTCTGCGCATGCTGATGCTTTAAACTGGTGCCTTGTCCTCAGGGCCAAGCTTTTTCCATGAGGACTGGCAAGGGCATTCTGCTGCATCTGCTGATGCGTTGGCTGATGTAAATATGCTGGAGTGAGGGAGCTGCCATTTCTCCCAGCAATAAATGTGGGGCTGAGTTCCCAGCCACAGCTCCCAGACAGCCCTGTCCCTGTCCCCGTGATAAAGGTGTGTTGCTGCAGGGCTGGATGTGATGAAGGCTCACAGGAAGGGTGCAGAGCCCTGCAGCCTGGGCTTGACCTCTGAGTGCTTGTGGCTGTATCTGCAGCACAGCTACTCTTCAGTTTTTCCAAAGCTAGTATTCTGCTGCCATGCTTCTTTCGCTGCATTTAGAAGTAGAGAGTGTTTTTTCTCTTCCTGGCACTGTAGGGAAGCCACCTCTCTCCCATCACCCGCAGACTGAAGGAAAGAGGTTTCCATAGCCCTGTCTCTTTCCCCAGCCTGCCTCTCCTCTCCAGCTGGG